GTAATTACTTAATTCTGATATAAAGTAGAAACGACATATTTATGTTAAAGTACTTGAGAGGAAGTGGAGAATAACCAAATCACAATAAACTCTCGTTTATAAAGTTTCACCAGCGACGTGCCGCGCATCTTCACGGTGAAACGACCTGACGTCAATACATACGTGGATATTTGTAAATAACTATTCGATAGATTCATTAATGTTTTAAATCAGTTGACGCTGAGTAACTGTTAACCTAATAAGCTAAAACAATTATACAGAGCGTATCAGAAAAGGTATAACAATTCGAAATTCATGCTTATTTCGTGAACCTCCATAATTTTCCGAAATAGAAACATATGAAATGTTATTCCATATTTTTGTCTTTTTGCCTATGTTGCACAACAAAGTGTTTCAGAAACACAAGTAATGTTAAATAAGGGTATTATTTAGATTTTTAGTACAGAATTAATAAGGATAACACTATTCGAACCTTGTGTATTATGTTTTTAATACGTGGAAGACCTCATTGAAATATTATAAGATATTCTATTTCACATAGGGACCGGCATTTTTCATTGTTAATTACGTATACATGGGCACACTAAAAGTTTTGCACTTCTAGCTAATCGGAACTATTTGAATTTAGAATGTTAAATTTTTTGAAACGTTGCAACCTTCTAAGTAACAAAAAAAAAATTGGTGGGAAATCATTTGTCATTTTTTTTATCATACATCAAAGTTCTATGTACGCAACGAAAATGAAATTAAGTCGAAAATATTTTAGAGCGATACTTTTCTATGATTTTAAAAGTTCTCTCTCTCTCTCCACAAGACTGTGCTGCTCGTGTTCAAAATGCTTTTGGGAGAGAAGCACCTTGTTTGAGCACCGTGAGGCGATGGTATGCTGAATTTGAGAGAGGTCGAGTTTCTTTACAAGACGAATTTAGTGAAAGGCGGCCTACAACTACCGTCAACGAAATTAATGTGGCTACTGTTAAGCGGCTAATTGAAGAAAACCCGCGGATTACCTATGAGACAATTCGAGGACTATTGGGGATTGGTATGAGCCAAATTCAGAAAATTTTACACGATGAATTGAGAGTTCAGAAACTTTGTTATCGTTGGATCCCTCATGAACTGACAGCGGAGCAGAAGCGGGCTCGCGTGGAATGGTGCTCACAGATGCTACTGAAGTACGACCATGGACATTCTAATGCTGTTTATGACATTGTCACAGGAGACGAAACGTGGGTTTATTGTTTTGAATCCGAAAAAAAACAGCAGTCTTGTGAATGGTTGTTTGAAAATGAGAATAGGCCAACAAAAGCGAGGCAGTCGAGAAACGTTGGTGAAATGATCGCGTTATTTTTACTCAGCTACGGGTCCTATCTGTACAATTCCACTTGATGATCAAAAGAGTATTAATGGCGAGTGGTATTCTACCTTTTGTTTACCCAGGGATGGAGAAAAGGTTTGAGAAAGACGACCAAAAAGCCTCATTCTCCTACATCATGACAACGCTTCTTCACACGGCCAAGAAAACAAAGTCATTTTTAGCTTCCGAAAAAGTACAATTCGTCACCCATCCTGCGCATCCTAGCCCCAACAGGACAGAAATCACAGGGTACTAGACCCTGTGATTTCTGTATTTTCACCAAAATTAAAGATTTGATGAGAGGTTTCACTTTTACTAACTCCGAAGAGGCAGTGATGGCGTTCAATCAGCACGTAGAAAACATGCCTTCAGATCTGTGGTCTTCCTGTTCTAAAAAATGGTTCGATCGCATGAAAAAAATGTTTAAAATGTAAAGGAGAATAATATTTTGAATAATATTTTGAAAAGCAATAAACATAATATTTTGGTTACAACTTGTTATTTTTTTAAGTTACGCAAAACTTCTTACGTATTATTTTTTAAGTATGTTTTTAGTGTAGAATATTTTGAGGTAGACATTATTTAACCCCTAGGTTTTTTCACAATTAAAGTGCCCACGGGTGATGCCACGGTCCCAACGTGTAAATTTGCACAGGTGGGCATGCGATGTGATGTTTAACTTGTAACTTCACGTAATTATCACTGTCACTAGTTTCCAAAGAATATAGAAAGAATAGATAGTAGTAATTTTAGGCCTGGTTTTCCGAAAACCTCTCTTATCTTTTTTAAAGAAAATGCGGATATGAAAGCGCCTTGTCTGTACATAGCTTTATCTTTTTTGTTTGTATGTAAATTTGACTTAGAAAAAGAAAGCAGCATATAAGTCATATATATATAAGATTATTTAAATAAGTTATCAAATTGTCAATTTATCAGTAGAATCGTTTCTTTTTTAAAAAAAAATTTTAGAAATTTCTTAGATATACCTATATATCTACCTATTTTTGCCATAAATTCCATTATAAATGTCACTACGCCAGCCAGCTGTTATTCTACTAAACTCGGTTGCCCCTGGCCCATATTTTGGAGAAAATTGGGTCGAGGGGGGCGATTGCGGTGTTTACACATATAGATATATCGACTAGTGTTTCAAGATAGGATATCAGTTAACAAATAATTCCAATTTATAATATAAGTACCTACTCCTATACACTGGAGGTTATGGCCTATTAACAGGGTTAATAAGAAGGAGGGGTAATAAGGACTAGTGATTCTATAGAGAACAGATATTATATATCATATGAAGTCGATTGGTCTATAAAATAGAAACGTTGACTAATAGATAAGTTCTAAGAATCTACCTAAGTAAAAATATCAAAAATACATTTGTATAATGTAAATCATTGGTAATCGCCGACTTTTGGGTTGGTAATTATAACTAAGATGATACCAATGATTATTTATTCAAGAGGTAATTAACAAACTTAGATCAACTATTTTATACATTGACGCACCCGATTTTGCGTCAGAGCTAGTCATCCAAGAGCCGCCTAGTCAGTAAATCCGGATTTCGGCATCTTGATGGTAAAACATTATTTATATATAACGGTCTATATCATTGAATTATCAATTATAATATATAAATACTAATATATGCGAAAAGACGACAATAAAATATTTACTTAAAAAAAGGGATTCACTTTTGCTGGTAACTAATTACAAGTTTATGCATTTGCATGTCGTCTTATTTTATTACAGCTAGATATCTTATATTCTACTAAGTTATTTATTGAAATGATTAGTTACAATATCTAAGGATATAGTCATTACCAATAGTTATCATCATCAACAGCTATTTCAAAGTGGGTAGATACCGATATACAGGTAATCAACAAGTAATCTTTTAAATAAAAATAAAATTGTGTATGTTTGTTCTTTAATCATATGATATCATTATTAAACCAAGTTTAAAAGAACTTTATTAAGTTAAACGGTAGCCCCGGGGTAGATAGATCCTTTGTAAAAAAATGTTTTATGCTTTCTTTCTTATTTTTTTATTTAGTTGCGATAATTGTTTAAACATATAATATAAATAAAACAGTGGACCATTGCATAATGCAATTCATCAAATGATGATTGGCATTTTTTATAATCGGTCTAGTGGATTATTTGATACTACTTGTGACTTCGGCCACATGACCGAAATTAATTGATGAAGAGGAATAAAAAGCAGCTAATGTCCTTCTCGGTTTGCTTCAGCCAGTGATCAATGTTCAATTATAAAAGATATTGAAATTTTACTATTTATAAATAAATAGTAAATTATAAAAGATATTTAACATTGATCACTGGCTGAAGAAAACCGACATTAGAGAAGGACATTAGCTTAATTATAATAATGCAATTCTAATTTACGATTAGTTTGTTTTTAGAAAGAGTAACAGATCAGTTGGTTCGTTCTCATCATTTTTCTGGTCTAAATCGCTGCTTGGTAAAGTTATGAAATATAAAGTACTAAAATATACTTAGGCAGTAGGGAGCTGGCTACTCAGTAAAAAGTATTAGGAATAAGTCTATTTTAATCAGAACTAAATAATAATTTTATTCTAGTCATGTTGCATTTATCCTATACCGATTAAAAAAAATTACACTTGAATTTTTAAGAAACATTTTTTTATTGTATAAAAATTACAATTTAAAATTAAAAGCAAAGTTCAATTTTTGTTATTTGTATAAATCCCGATATAATACGAGTATATATTATATAATACAAATTTGCTTGTCTGATAATGTCCGATTATATTTTTTATAACAATCGTAAAATTACTAAATGTTTAACTGAAATAAAATTTACTAAAATCTAAATTAAAATTTAAACCTGTAAAATAAAAAATTGTTATTGTAAGCGACATAAACACAGTAGGTATTCTTCCAGAGAAGAGGTATTAATTTATTAGTATGTGCGGTTTTGAGCAGAGGTGGTAAATGATTTATATTTCTATATATATAAACACAATACTGGATGACGATATTCGTCCCCTTATAATAGCGATGATGTTATACATCGTGTTAATAAACGTTCTATTTAGTTGATCAAAGTATCAATAAGGGTTATAAATAATTAAGGAATAAAATCTACAATATCTTATATGTAGTTCCGTGTACCTATTCAAAATTATTTAGTCCTTAGTTTATTTATTTATTACATAACATACCAAATAACATTATTAGGACACTATTTTTTCTGAGATCTGCTTTGTAAATAGTCGTCTAGGTGTATTTCATTCTCACCTATTTCAACCGCCTAACAGCTTGCTGTGTCAGCTGACTTTCGAGTGAAGGGTGAGAAAGATAATTAAATTATAATAAAAGATATATTCTCTGGAAACGTCCTCCGGAACACCAACACAGGAGCGGTATCGCGAGCATCACATGATAACGTGATGGTTATAAATGATAGACGAAGTTTACCTCTTCATGTGGGCCGTTAACTTCTTTACCAGTTCTGACACCGGCTAACGTCGGGGAAATTAATTAAATTAAAGTTAGTCATTTCCATACCATTATTTTAAGTAATATATGATTCCATCTAGTATTGTTTCCCATTTATGACGATTCATTTATAATATAAATATAAACTTACCAATTGTTTTCAATATCTGAAGATCATCCAGTTCATACTCTTTTTCTTCTTCAGTATACTCAGATTCTGTGGTGGTCGACTCCTGTTCCTCAGTGGAAGACGCTACGGACAACGACCGTACGTCGGAGCTGAGCTCCGAGCTACAGTTCCTCACCAACTTTGCACTGGCCATCATCATCATAAAGTCCACCAATACACTACAAAATTATTATTTGTACAACCTAAGTCTATTTCGAACAGATACACAATTTTATATTAGTAGTGCATAATTTTTATGAGTTTTATTTTTGTTTTTGTATTTCAGTGATAATATCGTAATCGAACGCGTGAGCGGTTTTTTTTGGAGGTATACGCGTGCTCTCCGCGACGCTATTTAAATCTCACTGCCGGCTGCCGGCGAGCCGGCGAACGTCGCAGACTTGTGACAACGGCGGTAATAAATAACATGGTAATAAACTCACTTATTTCTCGTTCCTTTGTTTTTGGTTATTTATCATAGCATTCATAGCTATTCCGCGTAGTACATTGTTATCTACTAAATAGTTTAGTGTACATTTTGCACAGGTGCCTAAATTAAAAATAAGTATTTCATATCTCGATGACGTCAGAGCGTCAAAGAGAGAGTTCATTCTAATAAAAAATTATTATTTAAAATTGTCAACACTTACATTACATAAATAAATTTACGATAGAAAATGGTACTCTTTTTTAGATAAACTTTTGTACTTTTTTATTACATAATTACAAAATATTTAAATTTATGTTTAAATTCAAAGATCTCTTAGGTTTCAAATTAATTTCAATAAAGGCGAGGTCTTTATGTTCTTAGTGAGTTTTTCTTGTCATTATGTGGTTAAATAATATAAAGTCCGTATGTATACACATACGGATCTTTATAAAGTGGTATAAATGAAAAAAAAATTAATCATATTTTTTATTAACAATAACCATATTTATCACATAAACAAACGCATAAATAACGTGGTTAAATCATAATATCACTGGAATCCGATATATATAGTTTCAGTTTAATCTAAAAATAAATAATTGAATAAAACGAGCCTTAATTACATATCCCATAATGAATTTGATGCTTGAATGAAGCTTAACTTCAGATGTAAGTAAAATAATAATAATAAAACTTATTTTATAGATGACGGGCACCAATAAGAATGTTTTTGATTAAATACGCATAAGACATATAGAAAAAGGCATGAGGATATAGAGACTAAATGAAATGTTAACAATGGTAAAAACACTGTACATTGTACTCATATATTATTCATAATACATAAAAATTTAAATACTATTATGTAATATATCTATTTCCATATTCACATGCAAAAAAATACTATAGTAATTTTGTATTATTGAAAAAAATATAGGTATAGAGAACATTCCAGATAAAATACATATCATATATTGCTCATAGTCTTTTTCTAAGTTGTATCAGTTTGTTACCATTACTTTACATTATCTCTGTTGTAACATTATATTATTCTATGACAAATAAGAATCACTGGCTATTCAAAACAGAATAGAACTCGTCATATTTATTATAACTATACCCTGACACTTGTGCGCTAAGCTGTACCCAACAATAAAGTAGCATAACGCAGTATATGTATAAGTTATCATATGACGAGTGCTACAAAGATTTGACGCTTATTTCCTCCTTTACAACGATATAGATTGACAAAACGGTATTCGATGTGCTAACTAATGTGTGATTCCTGTGAATCAAATGCATTGACCACATATTACCAAACAGTATTCATAGCTGGGTGGTAGACATTACGATTTTTTATATGTTTAAATTACATACATAAATGGTACAACTTGTGGATTTAAACGTAAACAATACAATTTGAAAAAAAATACAATAATACCTGTAACTTGCGACCTGGGTGTAAAAATTCCATTTAAATAAAAATGTGACTTAGCACGTTGGAAGTTTCATTTCAACTCAGTAAAAAAATTTATTTTATTACAAAACCGCTATAAATCACAACGCCTTGATGGAGTTTTAGCGGTGTATTAAAAAAAATCGGCCTGCATTCTCTATCAACAATTCTCAACAAACATTACTTTGCGTAAATAATTTTGCAATTGCGTGTTTTGTCATGAAATTTGTGACACCTTTATAAACATTTTAAAATACCTATAATTGTACGGATTATTTTGTGTAACTGGAAAGGGAAATAACCTGACGGCCCACCTAATGGAAATTGAGAACTATTGCCTATAGACATAAATGCCACTAAGCACATCATGTTGTCACGCCTCAGACCAAACTTAATTTAACCCGTAATATGAATCAATAATTATAACGCTGGGTTGTTTTAAAATTTATAATCTCGTAAATAAAATGTGCGGACACACTTGAATTGAAGTAACTATTAGTTCTAAACATAAAATGTATTTGACGATCTAACTCATTATTAAGTACCGATTACTTCTATTTCTCACATCTCCACAAAGAATATAAAACCTACTAGTTAGTTATTGGCCATTACATAATTACTTTAACATCTTGGGTATATAGATTCTTCAAATTAATACGCTATTCAGAATAACATGTGAATAAATGTAACTTTATCTCTACAAATATAAATGTCCTGAATTCCATACATATATATACAGAGAAAACTATTTAAATTTCGTACAGATGTTTTGTGTGAAACTCTGAGATTTTATTTTTAGGAAACGATATATGTCATATTCCGCAAAAACGACGCCATAAATATACTTTCATATTATTCCACGACGGATCATTTTTAATACTAGAATATAATTTATTATTACTAATATAACATAATTATTATCCTAAGCGATAAAGTTCAATATTTTTATTTACTTTATTATATGTAACTATTATATATTATACATAATTACATTAAAAAGAAATAACATATCAGCATTACTTTAATCACCGATGAGGTAAAAATTACATTACACAATTTATTTATTGTTATGCTGTATAAACAAACTTCCAACATATTATTGTCCAATAATTAGAGAATATTGGAATTTAAATTTCTTAAACAGTTTATTTTCTTGCATCCAACATTATTTTTTTAATATATATAGTAATATATATATAGTTTATAAAAATATTTCAATAAAATCTAAGCATTTTATTCTGATATTATTTTACATAATATATGGATACACTAGCGATCCGTTATGACTTCGTCCGGGTTAAACAATATGTCCCTTTCAAATGCACTGATTTTTCCTATAATGTGTGGCCTCGGATATTACTTTCCATATATCTACTTAGCCAACACAAAAAACGTACTATATGTGTATATTATAGACAATACTTTATAGGCACAGAACACAACTAATGTAAAACATACACTCCTACAAGTGAAATATTTAACACACACACACTATAACTAAGTACATAAAAAACTATTCAATAGCTGATAGCTATTGAAGAGAAAACGTATTTTTGTTCATATCTAAATAACTAGTACTGTTTAACTTGGAGCTTTGCATAGGCTAACTTATCCCTATAGCATTATAGCAGACTATATTCATTAACAAGAATGTATTAATAATATTAAATATACATTAATATTTTATGTTAAAGCAGATATGAAATAGATTTCATTGTAATAATTTACATTTATATAAATAAATAGTAATATTAATAAGTATGAGATACATATTTAACACAATATTATAATCAATCTTGATTAAAATATATTCTAAGTTGATATCATACTACATCGAGAAAGAATATCAAACCAGCGTGTGTGCCGACTGCCAGAGTTCGATGGTAATCCCCTGTTGGACAAAATGATATGGATACCACATCCGATAGAGGAAACCGCTCTGGTAATACGTCTTTTGCAGTCTGCATCGATTGATAGAACTCATTCTGTGAATAAAGAATTACTATTCAATAACAGGAAAGGCTGATTTTCATACAACTGACATAAGCACTAACATTTCAGTAAATATAATAACATTTTAAATGTTTTGATTCTCCCTCAATATATATTTTCCCCAATGTTAATTGTCATATAAAGACTATTTCTTTGTGTGTTGTCAAAAAATAAAATAAAATTACCTTATTCTTCTTATTAACAAGGGTCAATTCTATTCCATACTTTTTAATGGCACCTTCGTATGAAATCGGTTCCAGTTTCATAGCAAGTTCATCTTTCACATGTTTTCTTTTACGTCCACTTAATTCTGTCATTCTTAACATAGCTAAAGGCTAAAACAAAGATAGATATATTAAAATAATATATTTTCATCATATAGTTACAGTCGACCTTCCAGAACAAGACATATTTACAGACATTAAAGTACCTTTCAAAATGAACTATTTTTGAATAAAAAATAACAATAGTAATTATAATGCTATTTATGTTTTGATCTTGACAAATTACATTAGTGATATAAGCAATGCTATTAGTTATTAGTTAGTATAGTCACTATAATGAACTTCAAGCAAGATAACCATACTCATAAAGAAACATTGTAGTCACACGAACCAGAACTTCAAAATTTATTATTATAATAATATTATTATGAGATTTCTTCTACGACGGATGCATTAAAGGATTTCTCAAAATTTCGACATACGAATTATGAACTTGTTCAAAATTAGTTTTAGATTAAATAAACCATGTATTCCGAAACTAAGCAGAGCATGTATTTAGAACATTAAACAACTAACAGAAATATAATGTAATAGAATATTGAACCTTTTTGTTAAGTTCCCCTCGGGCAGGATGTATACGCATGGATCGCAGGTACGGCGGCATGAACGCCACCACGCAGCCGCAACGTTGGCAGCCGCTGCACACCTGCATCAGCCCCAGTCGGCGACCGCAGCCCCAAACCTCCAACTCGTTCGCAGATTGGTTCACTATTGCATTAATTAATATTACTTGTAGTTACTGTATGTGGTGACCGACTAAAGAAATTCAATGCAATTTTGAAATTTTAAACAATCGCTTGCATCAGCATGATACGGTTGGTATTCATTCCGCCATTTTGAGATTTTTTTAATAGTTACTTACTTAATTTAACTTATTATGTTTCATTTTTCAATTTCAAAATATATGGTTGGTGACTAACGAAAGAACTGACGTGCATTTATAGATACATTCGACTTACTCGACTATGACTCTTAAGTGTATAAAATCGAGGTTCTGGAGATCAGGAGCGTTGTACTTATTGAATGAAATACAGTTATGAGGTTACAACCGTATATATTGATCTAAGTGCCTAAATAAAAAATTACATATCTATATAAGGAACAACAAAAATATCTTATTAGCGTGTTTTAGAAATATGTATGCAAAAATACAGCGCCATCTAGTTGTACTAGTATAAAACTATTTTGACTCGAACATACCGCCCACCAAGGACATAATGAAACAATGTCCTTTACAGTATTAAATATCCGCCCACCATGACAAAATGGGTTGAAGTTACATGTTTGTAATTAACTACTTAATAATACAGAGTATAAAATTGTTGAACTATTAAACTTAAACACTAAATAAATGATAAATAAAACATTCTTTAACATACTAATCAACAACTGGTAGTACACACAATTTAGATGTTGGTCTTTTTATAATTGAACTTTTTGTCTTTAATGTGACTACTCGGGTTATGTTGTCATCGCCAGGATGTTTTTGAATAATGCGACCAAGTAACCATCGACTAGGAGGCATATCGCTTTCCTTGACAAGAACTATGTCTCCTAATTTAGGTTCAGGAACTTGAGAAGCCCATTTATATCTATGCAACAGTGTAGTCAAATATTCCTGGGACCATCTCCGCCAAAAATTTTGCAACATTTTTTGTATAGTCTGCCATCGAGTCAATGAAGAAATAGGTGAGTTCTCAAAATTAACATCTGGCACAGCTACTAGTGGTTCACCTACCAGAAAATGACCTGGAGTTAATGGCATAGGTTCTTCAGGATCATTGCCATTTATAATAGTCATTGGCCTAGAATTTAGACACGCCTCAATTTGACTGAGCAGTGTACTCATCTCTTCATACGTCAACGTTGACTCTCCTATAACTCTTTTTAAGTGAAATTTAGTGGAGCGCACCGCTGCTTCCCATAATCCACCAAAATTAGGCGCATGAGGGGGTATAAAATGCCATTTAGTACCTTCACATGCTATATTTTCTGCAACCTTTTGTTGTAAAACAAGTAACTCTTGTAATTCTCGAGCAGCACCAACAAAATTGGTGCCATTATCGCTCCATACTTGTGCACAGTGTCCACGTCTGGATGTGAAGCGCCTGAAGGCCGCTATAAAACCTTTTGTACTCATGTCACTGACGACTTCTAGATGTATCGCTCGAGTTGCCATACAGACAAACAAACAAATGTACCCCTTGTATGAATGATGACCCCTACCCTTCGATGTCCTAATATTTATGGGTCCTGCGTAATCAATACCAGTATGAAGAAAAGGTCTTGTAGGAGTACAACGTTCAGATGGGAGTGATCCCATTAGTTGGTTTGCCACCTTGTTTTTATGTTTTACACAAGCGATACATTTCTTGATATGTTGTTTTACAAGACTCTTAACACCTACAATCCAATAGGCAGATCTTAAATAGTTTATCATCATTTGGATACCTCCATGCAGAGTTCTCTCATGTGAGTCCTTTATTATAAGTTTAGTAAGATGCGATGCATGAGGTAAAATTATTGGATGTTTTGTATGTTCATCCAATGAAGACTTATGTAGTCGTCCATCAACTCTCATTATACCATATTCATCAATGTACGGACATAATGTATTAATTTTACTTCCCTTTACTTTTTTACTACCATTGCTCTTCAATTGTATATACTCTTCTTGAAACCACTTACTTTGACTATCCCTTATTAAACATTTTAAAGCTTCTTCTATTTCTTCCTTTTGTAAATACATAAATTTTTTACTTTTCTTATCCCTTTTCACTATTAAAAAACGTCTACAATAAGAAACTGCTCTCAAAAGTTTCTTAAGGTTTGAAAATCTTGTCCATGGAGAATCCTCTATTATTGTTACATATGACTTAATTGTTTCTTCAATTTTTGTTTCGAAAGCCTTTGATCTATTGTACAATATTTCCTTTTCCCGTAAAAACTCTGGACCAGTCAACCAAAGCTTATTTTCTGCAAGTGCACTTGGTTGAATACCTCTCGAGGCACAATCAGCGGGGTTATTCTTCGATGATATATGAGCCCAATGAGATGAATCCAGTGTAGTTAAAATTTCCGATACACGGTTACCTACAAATGTCTTCCATCGACTAGGGTGACTGTTCAACCATGCCAGTACGACAGTGGAATCAGTCCACGCTCGTAAATTGGATTTCTCGACATTCATAGCCTCTGCTACTTCCACCAAGAGTCGAGCTAGCAAAACTGCGCCACAAAGCTCCAACCGTGGAATACTTACTTGCTTTATTGGCGACACCTTCGTTTTAGCTGCCAATAATGATACAGAAATGTCTCCGGTCTGACTAATTGTTCTTGTATATACAACTGCAGCATACGCTGCCTTTGATGCATCACAGAAACCGTGAAGTTCGACGTGATCACCAGGCTTCATACCGAGCCACCTTGGAATACGCACATTGGTAAGTTGTGACAACTCACCACGGTAAGTCTCCCATTCTTGTAATAATATATCCGGGACTACATCATCCCAATCTATACCCGAAAGCCACAATTTTTGTATAAATATCTTAGCTAAGATCACACTGGGTGCTACCCAACCTAGTGGATCAAACAACCTAGCAATGTCTGATATGATAGATCTTTTTGTTACAGATCCAGTATCCTGTTCTCCCGGCGGCAGTTTTACAGAGTACTTAAATTTATCATCACTGCGGCTCCAGGTAAGTCCTAATATTTTTGTTGTATCTATCATTATGTCCTTTTCTATTTTATTCTCTCTGATATCTTCCTCTTGATCCTCGCTGTCCTTCCTTTCTTTTTGTCCTTCATAAACTTCTATTTGCTCTAATAATGCCTTATTATTACTATTCCACTTTTGTAGTATAAATCCTCCGCTTTTTAATAAATTATTCATTTCCTTGTATAACTCCACTCCATCTTTCACTGTTGAACATCCCGTCATAAGATCGTCCATATAGAATGAATTCCTGACTATATTAGCTGCAATTTTGTACTTCTTTTCCTCATCTAGGGCAACTTGATGTAATGTTTTTACTGCTAAATATGGAGCAGATGCTGTTCCGAATGTTAGTGTTACTAATTCATAATCTATAATTTCATTTTCAGGTTTATTTCTCCATACTATACGTTGATACGCAGCATCATCATCCGTTACTCTCACCTGGCGGTACATTTTTATTATGTCTGCTATTAAACCTATGTAGTGCATTCTCCAACGTATTATTATATGCCGTAAGTCTGACTGCAGTGTGGGTCCCACCATCAATGAATCGTTAAGCGACACTCCATTCTCATTTTTGCAGGACGCATCGAAGACGACACGCACCTTTGATGTCAACTTATCTTCTCTAATAACAGCGTGGTGTGGTAAGTAAACAGATTCATTTTCTTTTTCTTCTTTTTTTACAGGTCTCATGTGTCCTAATTGTATGTACTCCTTTATCACCTGTGTATACTTTTCTTTCAGCTTTTCGTCTTTTGATAATCTTCGTTCTAACGCTTTAAGTCTGTTCACAGCAATCGTTCGAGAGTTGCCGCCTACGCAGAGTGGATGTGAATCCCGAAAAGGTAAGTTTACTGTATAGCGACCACCCTGTGCTCTAGTTGTCGTTAGTGTATAATACTCTTCACATTTTTGTTCTTCTTCGCTTAATATTCTTTGTGTGCTCGTAGTTTGATCTTCTATTTCCCAGAATTTTTTCAGTAAATCATTTTCATTTACCTGTGCATGCATTACTGAAATTGTATTTGAACTAATATCCTGACTTGAACTTTCCGAATTAACTATGCCAGATAGGATCCACCCGAAAGTGGTGCACTGAGCGACAAGAGTTCCCATCGGTGCTCTTTTCACACCTTCCTTTATTATCTGACTATAGACATCTGCCCCTAATAAAATATCAATTTTATTGGGGCGGTTGAACTGCGGATCTGCCAATTTTATATTTTGGAGATCGCTCCATTCCATTGCTTCTAGTCTCTTCTCTGGTAAGTAAGAAGTTATGTTCTTTAATACGTATGCTTTGACCTTTATTTTAAAGTTACTATCAGTTAATGAGTGCAAAATAAGAGTAACCATATGCTTTGAAATTATTGTCCTGTCTGCACTCAATCCCGATACTGTTCCCCTAACTGTACTCCTTTTTAAACGTAAATGTTGTACTGTGGCCTCCGTTACAAATGACGCTTGGGAGCCTTGATCAAGCAAGGCCCGAACTACCTGCAAATCTCCTGATTCAGACTGAGCTTTTATTAGCGCAGTGGCTAATAAAACTTGCCTAGTTTTGATGATTTTATTTGTCGATAGACATGACACTATTGGAGCATTGTCTTCTGAAGAATTAACACCTTCAGAGGATGTGCTCTGTTGCGCTTCCTGACCTTGTGAACTATTATTTGAATCATCCTTTGGATGCACAAGCGTGTGGTGTCGTTTTTTACAGATACGACAATTGGTTGGTTTTTGACAATACTTAACCGAATGATTTCCCCCTAGACAATTAAAACAAATATTATTATTTAAAACGAATTGACGCCTTTGATCTGACTCTTGTTTACTAAATTTTCTACAAAAACATAATTTGTGAGCTTCTGAACAAAACTCACAACTTAATCTGGCACTGCTAAATTTTTGTGTTGCCAACAAAACCTTAGGATGACCTAGTGTATGTAAACTACTATGCTGTGCCAATGCTCTTTTTGGTTCGATACATTCCAATGCTCGAAATCTGCCTTCAATAAATTCTTTAAATTGTGAAAAGGTTGGCAATTCCATGGAGTTGTCACTAGAAATCTTAAACTCCCACTGTTTCCTAGTTTCCTGATCGAGCTTAAAAGATACGATATGAATGATGATCAAATCCCAAGTACTCACATCAATATTCAAATTGTTTAATGCACCCAGACACTCAGAAGTTGTATCTAACATTTCTTTCAGAGCCGATGCTGATTCTGTTATAATGCGTTTTTGACCGAAAAACCGTTTTAGAATACAATTGGCTAGATATTTTTTATTATTATATCTATTTTCTAATGTGTCCCAACATTGTTGATAGTTTACATCACTAATTGGCACATGTCTTACAAGCTGTTCGGCTTCACCAGTGAGATGGCCCTTTAAGTAATGCATTTTCTGCACGTTATCTAAAGCATTATTTTGATGTACTAAAGAAATGAATAAATCGCGGAAGGTTACCCACTCAGAATATTTGCCTGAGAATAACGGAATCGAAATTTTGGGTAATTTCACTAATGAACCAGCGACATTGCCATCATCATTACAAGCTGGACGGGTTAAGGTTACTAATTTATTATTCACAGTTTTCATAAGTGTTTTACATTCCATATATGTTTCTTCCGTATTATAATAAATATCATTTTTTACATACACTGAATTTTCTAATTTATCGGAATCTGAAGTCTCAATCAATTTTGTATTATTTTTACGAAAGAGCACCCAATCTTTGTCTACATTCTCTGATCTAGTTTCTATATATTCTTTTGTAATTCTGTCCTTAGGGGACTTTTTAAAATTAACTAAAGCTCTTTCAATAGAACGTTGTAAATCTAACTGAACATTTATTAAAGCTTCCATGTTTTATACAAATTATTCTTACTATAAAGTATCAATTGGTTACAATAATCAGTTTAAATTAAGTAAACTCAAACCGAAATAAACAATAAAAAAAAACTATAATATATCAAGGTTACTTCCAAAATAATCAATTAAAGATTGTATCTAAATTGTTTAAACTTTTTTTAAAAAGTTGTAGATATTATCAAAATGAAAACATAAAACTTTCTTAGTTAATATCTTGTTTAAAATTAAGAACAATATATGTACCACATGTAAGAGAACTCGTAAAGTAAAAGTTAATATTCCATACAGAAGTTATCGAAAATATTCTAAGTTCAAGACAAATCCTAAAATTTTACAAGTTAATATTTCATACAGAAGTTATGGAAAATATTCTAAGTTCAAGACAAATCCTAAAATTTTACAAGTTAATATTCCATACAAAAATTATCAAAATTATTCTAAGTCCATGAAAAATCCTAAAAATTTTACAAGTGTTTTGACAATTTTCAACCTGGCTGAAATCGGGCATAGATTCCTCGTTCCGTCGTTTTTTCTTAAATTATTCTAAGTGTCTACTAAATTACATGCAAATTATTCTATGTCCAAAACTGCTTGAAATTTTTCTATGTTTTTGATTTCTAATTAATATAGTTCAATTTTGCTTGGCAAATAAATAACAACAAATGTACTCACAATTGCACTTCACCAACACACATGTATACTTGACTGATGTTTCACTGAAGATGATGCCCTGATGACGTCATGTACGACCAGCTCGTACATCCGCTGTACTTTCTCAGTGATGTCCTCGGTGTGGTGCGGGGGCTGCGGGGCGGGCTTCGCTGCAATAGTCGGCAGGGGGAAACACTTCCCGCCGATGACCTATGGTACCCCTTGAACAGCGGTCCACTGCCCGTCGAGTACGAATAAACCAAAAACCTGACCAAGCCGTATCAATCCGGCTACGAAGAACCATGTATAAAATCGAGGTTCTGGAGATCAGGAGCGTTGTACTTATTGAATGAAATACAGTTATGAGGTTACAACCGTATATATTGATCTAAGTGCCTAAATAAAAAATTACATATCTATATAAGGAACAACAAAAATATCTTATTAGCGTGTTTTAGAAATATGTATGCAAAAATACAGCGCCATCTAGTTGTACTAGTATAAAACTATTTTGACTCGAACATAAGTATATTTTAAAATAACAGTTAAAAATAATATATAATATACATTCTTAATCATTCTCACTCATGGTTGACTGATAGATAACGCCGCAAACTGTTAAGTCCGCCATATGTACATTATGTTTTTGTACATTGAAGTTAAATAATAAAATAAAACATAAATAAAGAAATAAAATATATTGGAACGAAATTGTCATTGAGATTAGACTTCAGACTCCAGAGTACACATACTGACAACTGTGGTTATTCTGAATACTAAATTATGTAAGGAGTATACTGACTGACGGCCTCGTCGCCGGAGATCATGGCGGTAGGCCAGCCGGGGGTGAATTCGACGGACGAGTATGCGAGATGCATCTGCTGGTGCGGCGGCGCGACCGTCGCCCGGGTCACCAGCGCCGCGCCCGTAGGACCCACCACCGCCGCGGCTCCGGTCGTACTCTCCCGGTCCCCATTAGGGTACGTCGATATATCTAAACATACATTTAAAGGATTTCGTTTTACCGACACATACACATATAGATTTTTTTAATAATAATACTTTAGTACTATTCACAGAGCGTCGTCTAATCCCAAGGTAAGCTGAGCTTGCCTTATGGGTACTAGACAACTGATATAAATACACAGTTATTTTGTAGTAAATACAAGATATAAATAAAAAACACCCAGACCGACAAAAACAATCATACTCTTAATAAAAATGTGAGTACGCGTTGGGATTGTGCCTGTTTGTGGTTACATGTACATACACACATTACTTCCTTCTTGATACACGCATTAACGAATGCAAGCGTGTTTCAGTGATTTCCCTAAATCTGTTAGTTGGATTCATATGAGGGCAGCACTGTCATATTTAACTATTACTTGTATTCCAATTCAATGGGCAACACGATAATGACAATTAAATTACTAAATTTTCAAGATTTGATTAATTTTTAAAACTATAAAATTCTAGATTGTTAAGGATAAATAAATAAACCAAACCTGTTATACAAGAGTTAAGAGAGCGTTCGTCGTAGAATGGATACAGTATTGTAACACCGTTTTCCACAGTGCGCAACAACGGTGATTCAGTATTCAAATCAAAATAGGCTGTGCATCCATCAGCGTAGCCGACAATTACTGTACTGTGACCTTTTTGCTGTAAAATAACAGAATACATCAAATCTCGTACAACGTGCTATATCACTGTAAAGTTCCATCATAAAGTTTGCGTGAAAGAGTAACAAACATCCATCCATCCATTCATCTATCCATACATACTCACAAACTTTAACAATTACAATATTAGTATGATTTTAAAAGAGTAATTTAATAATTTATTAAGTATTTTCTTTGTTTTTAACATACCTTGGACCAACAAATAGATGACGTTTGATATTTTTTCCTATCAGAATTCATTACAAGTCTAAGTTCTGCTATGGGTTTTAATTTAAATATTTTTTGTTCACTGAAACAAATATATATATTACATAAAATGTATTTATTCTACAAAATAATATCACAATTACCTGATTGAGGAAAAGTCACAGTAAATAAAAGATAATTTAATTTTATCAAAAATAATAATTTATATCCAATATTGTTAAGAATATGTTAAAAATATGCCACCTCCGATCTTTTGCAGTAATAATTTGCGGTGAAAATAGCTACAACACCAGGCAACCCCATGTTTTTCAAAATTACAGAACAGCTCATTATAGTTACTAGGGTACTACTACTCCACAGCGTCTTGTTACTTTACTCAGAATATACGCATGAGGTGAGCAAACTCTGTCAGTATCTTGGGAAACCTTCCTCGATTTACCACATTAGATAACAATAGTGATTTTTAAATGATATGTAACTGTTTATAATAATATAAATAAATATACCCAATATTATACAATATTAATAATATATTATCTTACTTACCTATTTGTGATGTAACTTGGGTAAGGTACGGAAAATATGTAAGCAAGACCATTTGAACACGCCACAGCTAATAATCCAATTCTTAAAAATCTGTCAGGCTTTACGTTTGGGTCTGCTACTGTATCGCGTGTGCCAGATGGACACCAATCCATAGCCCATACAATACCATAATCGAGAGCTATACCCAGAGCAAAATTCGGAACATCCCTAAAAAAAATTTTTTAAATAAAAAGAATATATCAGGACTGTTTTTCACAGATCATCATTAGATAATTCATTAATATTATTCGAGAGTCCTATTTAGCTCGGTAGAATTCATTACAAATTGATTCTATTTTGATTCGTGCATAGTAGGTTATAGCATTAACAAAAAATAATATTAATGATACCATTGACAGTATTGTAAGTATACTATATTGTGTTACAGGTTGAAAAATATGGGTAACATAAGCATTATTGTGTAATCTGTCACGTCCACCTGTGTTACAACTTTCCATCAACTATTAGTTCATTTTCCAATGTAAGAATTATAAAAATAACCGAATTTAAGAGTTGTAGAGCAAGAGCCCACGACTGCCAGACATACGTCATTTTAATAAACGTGAAAGTTCTTGTATGTGTGTCCCCAACACAGGTAAGAACGATCCCCAAATATGAAACCTGGATCGTGGTTCCTTTGGCAGGTACCAGGTAACAAAGGTGTAAAAAAATCATACCAAATTCGTTATTTTAAGAAACTCCATATTTTCATATATTGTTCGTAGCACTATTATAACTTGCGCTGCTCATTGCCAGACACGTAGTGTGGTTCCAACCCCCGCCGGACCCCCCTAAACTATACTATTTTAGAAATAAACTTACGTCATTTTAATAAAGCTGAAATTTATATATATTATTGAGAGTTCTCTCAAACTGAGTTTCCTAAATTGCCAGACAGTTTTCTTGGTTCCTTATCATACCAGACTCATTGAAACCGTATATTGGGTAACAACGGTGTATACAATTTCATATCAAATTCGTTATTTTAAGATGCTCCATTTTTTCACATATTGCTCGTAACAGTATTATAACTTGCTCTGCTCATTGCCAGACCCTTAGTGTGGTTCCAACACCCCGCCGGACCCCCCTAAACTATACTATTTTATAAATAAACTTACGTCATTTTAATAAAGCTGAAATTTATATATATTATTGAGAGAACTATTAAACTGAGTTTCCTAAATTGCCAGACAGTTTTCTTGGTTCTTTATTCCACCAGAATCATTGAAACCGTATATTGGATAACAACGGTGTATACAATTTCATGTCAAATTCATTATTTTAAGATGCTCCATTTTTTCACATATTGTTCGTAGCATTATTATAACTTGCGCTGCTCATTGCCAGACACGTAGTGTGGTTCCAACCCCCGCCGGACCCCCTAAACTATACTATTTTATAAATAAACTTACGTCATTTTAATAAAGCTGAAATTTATATATATTATTGAGAGTTCTCTCAAACTGAGTTTCCTAAATTGCCAGACAGTTTTCTTGGTTCCTTATCATACCAGACTCATTGAAACCGTATATTAGGTAACAACGGTGTATACAATTTCATATCAAATTCGTTATTTTAAGATGCTCCATTTTTTCACATATTGCTCGTAACAGTATTATAACTTGCTCTGCTCATTGCCAGACCCTAAGTGTGGTTCCAACCCCCGCCGGACCCCCCTAAACTATACTATTTTATAAATAAACTTACGTCATTTTAATAAAGCTGAACTTTATATATATTATTGAGAGAACTATTAAACTGAGTTTCCTAAATTGCCAGACAGTTTTCTTGGTTCCTTATCCTACCAAACTCATTGAAACCGTATATTGGGTAACAACGGTGTATACAATTTCATATCAAATTCGTTATTTTAAGATGCTCCATTTTTTCACATATTGCTCGTAACAGTATTATAACTTGCTCTGCTCGTTGCCAGACCCTTAGTGTGGTTCCAACCCTCCGCCGGACCCCCCCAAACTATACTATTTTATAAATAAACTTACGTCATTTTAATAAAGCTGAACCTTATATATATTATTGAGAGAACTATTAAACTGAGTTTCCTAAATTGCCAGACAGTTTTCTTGGTTCCTTATCCTACCAAACTCATTGAAACCGTATATTGGGTAACAACGGTGTATACAATTTCATATCAAATTCGTTATTTTAAGATGCTCCATTTTTTCACATATTGCTCGTAACAGTATTATAACTTGCTCTGCTCGTTGCCAGACCCTTAGTGTGGTTCCAACCCCCGCCGACCCCCCTAAACTATACTATTTTATAAATAAACTTACGTCATTTTAATAAAGCTGAACCTTATATATATTATTGAGAGAACTATTAAACTGAGTTTCCTAAATTGCCAGACAGTTTTCTTGGTTCGACAACGATCAGAGCAAGTTATAATACTGTTACGAGCAATATGTGAAAAAATGGAGCATCTTAAAATAACGATTCGGTATGAAATTGTATACACCGTTGTTACCCAATATACGGTTTCAATGAGTCTGTTAGGATAAGAACCAAGAAAACTGTCTGGCAATTTAGGAAACTCAGTTTAAAAAACCGATTTTTTAAATAAAAGAATATATCTAGTTCTCTCATAAATATATATAAGTTCATTTTAAAAATGACCTTATATATATTAAACAGGGTTCGGCGGGGGGTTGGAACCACACTAAGGGTCTGGCAACGAGCAGAGCAAGTTATAATACTGTTACGAGCATATGTGAAAAAATGGAGCATCAATATGAAATTGTATACACCGTTGTTACAATATACGGTTTCAATGATTATTTAGGAAACTCAGTTTAATAGTTCTCTCAATAATATATATAAGGTTCAGCTTTATTAAAATGACGGTTTATTTATAAAATAGTATAGTTTGGGGGGGTCCGGCGGAGGGTTGGAACCACACTAAGGGTCTGGCAACGAGCAGAGCAAGTTATAATACTGTTACGAGCAATATGTGAAAAAATGGAGCATCTTAAAATAACGAATTTGATATGAAATTGTATACACCGTTGTTACCCAATATACGGTTTCAATGAGTTTGGTAGGATAAGGAACCAAGAAAACTGTCTGGCAATTTAGGAAACTCAGTTTCATAGTTCTCTCAATAATATATATAAGGTTCAGCTTTAATAAAATGACGTAAGTTTATTTATAAAATAGTATAGTTTAGGGGGGCCCGGCGGGGGGTTGGAACCACACTAAGGGTCTGGCAATGAGCAGAACAAGTTATAATACTGTTATTGAGCAATATGTGATAAAATGGAGCATCTTAAAATAACGAATTTGATATGAAATTGTATACACCGTTGTTATATACGGTTTCAATGAGTCTGGTAGGATAAGGAACCAAGAAAACTATCTGGCAATTTAGGAAACTCAGTTTGAGAGAACTCTCAATAATATATATAAATTACAGCTTTATTAAAATAACGTAAGTTTATTTATAAAATAGTATAGTTTGGGGGGGTAAGGGGGTTGGAACCATTATAATACTGTTACGATCAATATGTGAAAAAATGGAGCATCTTAAAATAACGAATTTTGATATGAAATTGTATACACCGTTGTTACCCAATATACGTTTCAATGAGTCTGGTAATAAGGAACCAAGAAAACTTCTGGCAATTTAGGAAACTCATCAATAATATATATAAATTTCAGCTTTATTAAAATGACGTAAGTTTATTTCTAAAATAGTATAGTTTAGGGGGGCCCGGCGGGGGGTTGGAACCACACTACGTGTCTGGCAATGAGCAGCGCAAGTTATAATAGTGCTACGAACAATATATGAAAATATGGAGTTTCTTAAAATAACGAATTTGGTATGATTTTTTTTACACCTTTGTTACCTGGTACCTGCCAAAGGAACCACGATCCAGGTTTCATATTTGGGGATCGTTCTTACCTATGTTGGGGACACACATACAAGAACTTTCACGTTTATTAAAATGACGTATGTCTGGCAGTCGTGGGCTCTTGGGCTATTGTAACCGAAAGAATTCTCGGTTATAACAAATATTATTAATATTCATTAATACATACCTACAAGACAAGTGACCTAAATCCCATATTTGTATGAGAGACTTTTGTGTCGTCAATTGATCTGGCTGGCTTCGTGGACAGTCTGCTTCGCGATGACATGCGACGGCTATGAACTGTCTGCATTTGTCCATGTTGACATCTGTATGTGGAGGCAACCATGACAAGCACCTTATACTGCCACCCACAAATATACTTTTTATATCTGCAATCACCATACAAAATATATGTGTAATCATATCATACTTGTTGTTGTGTAAGAATATCATACTTGAAACCAATAACAAATATTACTAAAATAAAATACTAAGCATGTCCATGCGTCATTATATTCCTTCCTCTTCTAAAACCATAAGTATCTGTACGTAAATAAATACTGTTTGAAATATGTAACGATATCATATATTACCAAACAATCTATAAATACTATAAGACTATTTATTATCATTTCATCAATTGCCAGTAATGATGTAAATTGTTGAAATTTTAAAACTATCAAGGCTAAAAACATTTAAATATTACTTACCTCCTGTACTCTTAGCCTCAAATCTGTTATATGTTGTCCACTCGTCTTTGGAAAATTTCACTTTGCAGGATTCCTTTAATAGCGGTAAATACTGGGATTCTTTTTCTTTAGAAATGGCCACAAATTCACAATTTTGAAATTGTGGAAACAACTTTTCTGATGTTAATATAAATTTGGTGCTGAAAAATAATACAAAATCTAAATTAAACGAGTTAGTTTTATATGCCAAACCTATTACATTGGCGAATACTATTAATTATGTTTAAAGAAAATGTCAAACAAAGATGATGATGTCATATTGCTTCGAGATTTTCAACAACCCGTACATATGAGGATTGCCGGTACAAAAAGTTACAAAAACATTCACACTACTTGAATACTTACTAATCATTAAAACTTTTTTCCAAATAATTCCTGATGTCTTTGATTACAAAGGGTATTCTGGGAACTTTAGACGACGCATCTAAAACAGCAAAATGTATTAATTTATAATAATGCCACATATTGCTATGTGTCATTTATAGTTATAAACCATTTTGTTTTCGCAGTATAATGTAACGATAAAATTCTTATAAACAATTACTACTAACATATTGTATATCAAAAATGAGCATATGGAGGTAAGCGTTGGAGATGTTTTATGTAATTCTAATGACAACAAAGCTTAACAGCCCACAGTGAAAATGGAAAGCTTATACACTACCAAATATCATGTGAAAATACTAACTGCTTTCTGCACCCCGCTTTCTTTTTCTTCTTTTCACTAATGCTCGTTCTTCTTCATTAGATATATCAGAGTCAACAGAATCTCCAGATTCATCTTCAGATTCATCCGATTTCTCTGACTCAGGTTCGTTCAATTTCAAATCATTTTTTTTACATTTATGATTAGATAATTCAGTCTCAATATCTGTTCCAAAGAGACAGTCAGAACATTTGTATTTAAACTGTAAAAGATTTTAATATGTAGTGCCATTAATTAATATATCATAGTACATTATTATTATCAACTAGCTGTACTCGCGACTTAGTCCGCGTGTAATTTAACTTTATTTTCCTAAAATAAAAGTACGTTACTCCTTAAGCAGTTGATGCCGGATTAGAGAGAGAGAGATTAGATTAGAGACAGAGATTAGCCGGAACAAACATGTTCCGGCTAATCTCTGAAATGGCTGACAGACAGGCAAAAATGGTAAAAAATGTTATTTTGGTGTATGTACCGTACAGACACCAAAATAACATTTTTTACCATTTATATTCATATGCATATAGTAAAAAAAACGGTCATTCAATATTACAAACAGACACTCCAATTTTATTTATATATATAGATGTATAGATAAGTAATACTTACTTCACTGACTGCTCTGTAATTATCAATAACAGTTTTAGCCCTGAAAACAAAAAAAAGTATTATAAATAAGAATATATTTGTTTCGTCATAATATTACTGTCATGTTAAGCATAGAAATAGAAATAGAAATAGAAATAGAAATAATCTTTATTCAAATAAACTCATTACAAGCACTTTTGAATAGTCATATTTTGATTCTACCACTCATTCGGAATGCAGATTCATCACAAGAAGAATGAGCAAGAAACTTGTGTGTTGCTCTTTTTAATAGATGTTTTTTTTTATATAAATAATTACAGTATAACAAGTAAGAGGCATGCGATAATCAACATAGAAGTCGCTACGCACTCATTAATGTAATCAGATAATATTGTCAGTGCTATAGATTTAAAGTTTTTCTATAAAAACATTATTATCGTTAACGAATTCTTCAATTTTATAGTAAGCTTTTTTGTTTTATTTGACATTTAAATCTTTTTTCTGGCAGATTTATAACAGACTCTGGTATTTTATTGTAAAACCTTACGCAATTGCCATAAAACGAATTACTAACTTTAGGCAAACGACATTTAGGTAAAATCAGTTTGTTATTGTTACGTAAGCTTTTATTAGTGCAATCACTAACTCTTTTGAAACTGTCTATATTCCTTCTGGCATAGATGATATTTTCATAAATGTATTGAGAAGCAACGGTGAGGATATTTGATTCCTTAAAACACTCTCGCAATGACTCCCTGGAACCCATACCATAAATGGAGCGAATGGCCCTCTTTTGTAAAGTAAATATTGTATTTATATCAGCTGCTTTGCCCCATAACAAAATACCATACGACATAATGCTATGGAAATAGCTAAAATAGACAAGTTTAGCCGTTGCCACGTCTGTTAATTGTCTAATTCTTCTTACCGCATAAGCGGCAGAACTAAGTACAGTAGCATAAGTACAGTAGTTGTAAGTATAGCTTACTTTTAAAAGTAAAACATTTTCGTTATTATTCACTTGTGTGCACTTATCAAACACAATGACAATTTTACTATTACAACAATTACAATACAATAATGAAATATAAACTTTATGTATATCCTCACTTTACAGCAGCTTTCCTGGGACCAGATATAAAATCTTCTTTATTGTTTTCTTGTGCTTCGAGGGCTCTCCGTTTACGCTCCATAGCATATTCTTTTTCCCTGTGCATTCCCATATGTTGACTCTTGTATATACACAAATATTTGGAATTACATATATCACACATAATTTTATACATTTCCATTTCCTAAAAATATTTAATTTATTGTCAATACTATTTCGGCTATGCAATTTACTTTTATTTCAAATGCCAGCACTTTCTTCTAACAACAAAATTAGTAATGTGTTAATCTTCTGACATGGTAATTCCATTTATTCAGTTATATCGAATTATTCTATCAGCAGTTTGAATTACATAATAATGTCCAAGAACAGAAATTAAAATAAAATGTGCTTATTAAACCTGTGCTATTATAACACATGCGATAGTTCAGTCAGTCCAGTTTCACTAGTAGACCCGTGCAACTTCATCTGCGTCACATTTTACCTGTTTTTGTTATATTTTTTATTACAGCTTTACTCCTACAGAGCGTAGCATGTTATATAGCGCGTACCCTTCTTTAATAAATAGACTAACTAAAAGATTTTTAAAATCGGTAATATCGATTACCGATTACTTACCGATACTTTATCTCTTATAATATTAATATACATAAACACTTTATAACATATTTGCACACATTTAGTATCAATAAATCTAATATAATATAATTATTAAATAATTAAAGACTATGATATAGTTACCTCCTCCGTTTTTCCACATGTTATTATGTGCGCATAGAATCCCATATATGACGATCTACTCACGCCACAAGTTTTACAAACCAATTTTCCGAATTTTTCCTTATATTCCTTTATATTTTTTTCTGCACCATACGTACTTGTTAAATCCTACAAAAAAAATCATATATTGATTTATAGAAATTTCGAGTTAAAATTAAGATTGTGTTCATAACATTCAGTTCATTCCCTATATGAGCAGGTAGAGTAAAGAAGTGAAATAAATAGAGACGTATTTTGTAACAGGCAACACTATTTTATTTCGTTATATTTACACCGCTTCGAGTACTTTTCGATTTAAACAGAACGAGTTATCATCAACTTACAATGGGTTTGTCACCAACAATCCATGCGACGTTGTAATGCTTTTTCATTGAGTGATTTTTCCAGTCCTGTGGTTGAACATTTTCATGACATACGCCACAAACATACATTCCTGAAACCAAAATTCAGTTTACTGTAATATCTACAAAGTCAGAGCAACCTAGTTTATTTTTTATGAACAGTTCTATTATATTTTTCGTTCCAATAATCTTATTCATATTTTGCATCGGATAATATTCACGCAATAATAACATTGCCATATATGTGATATAAAATTACTACAACGAATGGTTATTGTTTCAAATGCAAACATCATTTAAATAATCATAAAAATATATAAGAGCACATTTTTTACTGTTAATATTAAGTCGTAATTATTTTCTTATTAATACAAAAAATAGTATATACTAATTACCTTCCTCATTTAAACAATTTTTCTTATTACACGTCTGAACATGCTCCATATATTTTTTTACATACTTGCGTTCTAAACCACATATATTGCAAATTAGGGATCCGGATATCTTTAATATTGTATATAAATGTTCATGGAGCATATCCGGATCATTTGTGTCCTGCAAAAATTAATAACAGAAATATAAAATCGTCATCAACAATCCAACAATGCTTATAAAAAATCCATCCTAAGGAAAAATCGTGGTATCATTTACGTATACTGTTAAAAATTACGATTGAAAGCAGTTATTTTACAAATTAAGAAATAAACAAGCGAATTAATTGTACTTACGTATTGTGATACTTACCAGAGGCGGTTGTCCACTAACCCTCGCAAAATATCCGTGTTCTTGCTGTATATGCGGAATCCATTTCTCCTCATCTATCGTATTATTACAAACGCCACATTGTGCTGAGCCTATTACTCCCAAATCACTTAAATTATTTACATTTACGCTGCATGTAGATGTATTATTAGGTGACGAATCTTCATGAGTTTGTCCCTACAAATATTAATAACTAAAATATTGTATTTTCTATGGAAAAGCAAAGAAGCAGACGGTCTACCTGATGGTAACAATGGTCTATATACATGAACAGCACTACGCACATAACGTTATCATTTGACGCTCAATTTAATTTCACTGTTCACCCTTCAATCGAAATATTACATACAAAGGAAGGATTGGTGGTTGAAATAAGTAAGAATAATATACACAGATGCCTTTGTATTTATTTTAGCAATGCACACAATGCAATAGTACTATTTACAGCTTTAACACCTTGCAGTATTTTCTTAAAATTTTCTTCTTTCAAAAAATAAATGCACGCGGTGCAAATATAATAATGTTCTAAAATATGTATTAGTTAATTACATAATAGTGAACTACTATTATAAAATACTAACCGTATCTCCACTGCAAACTTTTATATGGTGTAAATATGGTTTAACGTACTTGCGAACTAAGCCACATTTGCTGCAGATCAATCCATTCTCTTTTTTAGCAATATCGTATAAGTATTGGTACTTTGAAGTATGATCCTTAAAATCCTAAAAAAAAATTTCATATGCTTAGTACAATATTAAAAATAATAATCGGCCAAACAATAGTTAAAAAATCTATATATTCAATTCACTATTCAGTCAATTAATAAGATATTACACTACACTTACCTAGATTATTTTTAATTAGTATTTATTATTCAACATTCAAAATTGTATATCTGTAAGTACTTACAGGAGCCTCCTCTCCGACTTTCCAAGCCAAGTAACTATGTTTTTTAGACAAATGCTCAATCCACTCTGTAGAATTCATACTCTCCTGACACACTGCACAACTTACAACAGTGTCATTCACTTTTACAGAAGCCTCTGGAGGCGATATGTGTATTTCCACTATATTTGTATCATTGGGCTCATTTGTTTGATTGACAGAATTCTGAAATAATAATTACCATAATAAACCTTTAGTACAATATTTATAGAAGTAATCTTTATTCAAATAAACTTAATACAAGCTTTTCTTCCGATGGTCGCGGGTAGGAATCCATTGAAACGATCGAGAAAACATTTGTATTCATGAAAGTATGATTGTTTGTATTGTGTCCCCATAAGACAATCTCTGCTTAGCTTGGGACTTGATAATAACTTTAGGGTTTTGGATGAAGCTGTGTGAACTGTCTTAGTCATTATTTATTTATTATATAAAAGAATAATACTTGTGTTATCATCATCATCATCATCCATCCTCTTTGATATGGACCTATCTATGAGGTAGGTCAATATTAAACATTAATTATAATTACTGTAATATAAGAACAAAACATAATAGAAGAACAGAATATGTAATGAGTAACTTAAGACATTGTTACTGTATGTACATATACATACAGTAATAATATCATAATAATATGTCATTAATTACCATTAAGGCAATTAGCGAACGTACATTTCTCATATATAGATTAATAATATTCACTTTGTTAAGAATAGAAAAATATTTACTAACATTGACGCCGCATGTTTTAATATGAGCAAGAAAATATTTGATAGTCTTAATAGTATATTTTCGTAATAACCCACAATTGATGCACATTATTCCACCATGTTGTTGCACCATATCAACCAAGTGGCGTTTTAGCGCATCTTCGTCGTTCAAATCCTGAAATATTCATAACATTCTAAATATTACACAGTCGTAATAACGTTTTTTTATATCATATCGGGCACGGATTTAAGCGATTTTTCGGAATGGATTAGGTCTATTCATTAGTTATGCGTAAATTACTCAATGACATAAATAAAAATAAATAGAAGCATAGTAAGACTACTATTTAGTTTTATGTGTTTATTTAATTTAAAATTAATTTTTGGATGTAAATTGTATATTTTTATAAAACAAGACGTAGGTACCCATACTATTATTTTCTTTGAGTATACGTTGACCTATAAGAGTGTTCAAATTTAAGTTTAATTATATATCTAACTACTTACAAGTGGCTTATCGCCATATTTCCAAGCCAAATAGTGATGTTGGGTTGATATATGTTCCACCCATAGGTGATCTGCAATGTCTTGCATACACACGCCACATGTAGTCACCGCTGTTGGTTTAGATTTCTCGGGTTCTATCTTTATATTGACAGATCTAAAATTTATTTTTGGACTATTAGAAGCCTGCAATAATGATAAATTAAATTAAATACAGTATTGCAACAAATATTCTTGTGTACGGAAAACAATCATTTCTAAATTCTTTTCACCTTTCTATATCTCTAATAATGTATACTATTGCCTAAGTGCAAATAAGACGTATTATTTATAACCAACATATAGGGAATCAGTTAAAAGTCTATTTCGTTTCGTCTAATTTTACCAACGAGTTCATAAATAAAATTGGGAATTCATTATAATTATTTGTTATCGTCATAATTATTTATAGTCCATTGCTTGTTGCCTATTTACTGCAATGAGACAATAAACAGTTATTACGGCGATAATGGGCTGTCAAAAAGAAGTAAACACGAACACTATTATGTTTTTTAGTAATAAGTACGTGTGACCAAGTCTAGATTAGAAATAAGAACTATAAAATTAATAATAATTATGTTACCTTCAATTCTGCACATTGTTGTACATGCGTTAAAAATCTTTTTGCCTGTTTCATTTCAGTGTCACAAAAAGTGCATATTAGAAAACCATTATCCTTCAATTTTTCTCGCAATTTTTTTAATAAATCTGGATCATCATAATCCTGTAAGTTTTGTAAAAAATGTTAACGTATTACATACATTACATCATATGAATATATCGTGTAGGGAAAAAGGGAATATGATGTTAGTAATAGCGGACCACTGGTCCCCTTGATAGCAATGTCCCATGTCATCGAAAACTGTACAACAGTCGGCTAAGCCTGACAAACATGATAATAGTGATTAACATCCAATAACAGCCACTAATTGACCATAAATGACCTATCATAATATGATGATTATTCAACGCATGTAAAAAATTATACTTACAAATTTATCCCCATCCTTCCAAGCAACACAATTATGACCCTCAGTTATGTGCGTATCCCATTCGACTTCATTAACCATTTGTTTGCACACAGCACATTTTACCATTTTTACCGGCTTCTGAATCGAATTATTTGAGATCTTGCGTTTCTAAAAGTAAAGAATATTTAACAGTCTCCCCTCCACAAGGGGTTGAATTACGTACTTGTAAGAAGAGTCAATTACCACAATTGACTCTTCATACAAGTGTTCTTACCGTACTGGTCTTGAAATTTAGCATGTATATATTTTGGTCTAGAATATATAACACAATTCTAAATAAAACAGCAACATATTATAAATACAAGTAGGTTATAGGTACATTATAGGTATTATGAAATATGACACCATACAAAGGTATATATGATGGGAGGTGAAAATAATGCCAATTAAAAAAACTATTAGGTTGTTCAGAAAGAAAGCATATAAAAATTATACGGCTTAAGTGTGAAGTTGAGTGCAAAAAATATAATTAAATCCTAAGTTAGGAAAAACGAAATTACTTTCCGAACAACCTAATATTTTGATACAACAACCCTATATTTATTAATACCTAAACTTTATTAATTTTGTGTTAATGCGTCATAAATACACAGATTATTTCCGAGTAATATGTATATATAAATCGGAAATTCATATTAAAATAATTTCCGATACTGCCTCAACATTATTTAAGTACCATTATTAAAACACAATGAGGTGCACAAATTCAAAGCCTTGCAGCTAAACTAAGTTCAGCAGCTTTTGGCGTGCGTAAGGTTAGACAGTACACTGATACTGATACTGCTAGATTAGTCTATCTTAGTTATTTTCATAGTTTACTCTCTTATGGAATATTACTATGGGGAAAAGCGGCAGATATTAAAAATATATTCATATTACAAAAACGTGCCGTTGGAGCGATCTACTGTATGAAGAGTCGTGACTTATTAAGAGAGAAATTCAAAGAGGCAAATATTCTCACCGTTGCTTCTCAATTTATATATTGAAATATCCTATATGTTCATAAAAATTTTGACTTATTTCCAAAAAACGGCGATATTCATAATATTAATACTAGATTTAAAGACAAACTTGCTGTCCCCAAGTATCGTTTAGAAAAAGTTAATAGGTCTTTTATGGGAATAGGTATAAAAATTTATAATAAGATACCAAAGGATATGTTGGCATTACCCTTAAATAAATTCAAAACATCTGTTAAATCATATTTACCGAGCAAGGCCTATTACTCACTAAACGATTACTTGAATGACGAGTGTGCATGGCAATAGTTGTTCATGCACTGAATTTTCATTTAATGTTAGACATAGACACCTATATAAAAATACATTGTAAATAAACTGGCTTTAAAAAAAAAAAAGTAATTCAATTGAGTTTCTTGCCAGTTCTTCTCAATTGGATCTATATACCGAACTGGACGGTAGGGAAAAAATAAAATTATAGTGTAAAAATTTGACGTTCATAAGCGGCTAAAATGTCCTACATGAATAAATGATTTTTGAATTTTGAATTTTGAAAAAATTTTTACCACAAAAAGCTTGAAACATAGGTAATATCAAATTTATCTCTGAGATAAAAAAAAAAAGATTATAGTTATTAATTCCATATTACCTAAGTTTACTTGAGTAATAAATATTAATTGTGTATGTTACGTGTTTAATATACATTAATCATATTGTTAACCAGGTCATCTTTGGTTGGACAATATAGTGACGAAAAACTACTAGCTACTGATATTAACATCGCTGTTACTCCAGTGAGCTTGTAACCATGGTTAGTACAACCTAGTCGAAATGTCGAGATAGGTAAGTCGAAACCTTTAATAAATAAAAAACCTTTAAAGAAATAACAACTTACTCGTCCCCTTCGTTTATTTTTTGTTAGTTCCATACTCGTGTCTGCACTATTGTGTTCTTCTAAATTATTAGAATTCATCCTATCTTCCGACATCTTGTTTTGTTCATCTATGGTAGATTCCTGCATAAATAAATATTATAAAACACTTTTCATAATTTAACCCAATAATGTATATACAAAAAAAAATTAAACAAATACTACCTTTAAATGTAAACAATTCTTCACATGTGTCAAAAATTTGTTTGATTTTTTTATTTGAGCACCACAATAATTACACTTTAAATATCCTTTACTTTTTAATATTTGTTTTAATTTGTTTAACAACTCCAAATCTGCCCAGTTCTGTAACATTAGAATTGATTCTCTTACAGACATCTTAAAGGCAAACCAATAGTTACTACCGTTTTTAAATAACACAAAAGTATTTATAAGAATATTCAATTACTTATTTACAGTTTGTATCATGAAATACATCTACCAATAGACTTACAAAAGTATCACCCGCTTTCCAGGCTATAAAACAATGCTTTTCATTTGCATGATTCTTCCAATCTGTTTCTAAAATCATTTGTTCACATACAGCACATTTCACATAGTTCTTGTTAGGCAAGTTCAAAACATCAGAAATATTGCGTTTCTTCTAAAATAAATTTTTTGAAAGAATTAACAATAGAATAATTATTCTTACTTATAACAATTAATAGAGATTAACAATAGAAATAGAACTTACTCTTCCCCTTTTTTTTGGCTTTGTTTCACTAGTGTCAGCGTCACTGTTCTCCCCTGTCATATACTTAACACCCACTTCTTTAGTAGTAATCATTCCCTTTTTGTTAATATTGCTCTGTACATCAAATTTAGATTCCTGTTTATGTAAACATTACATTTTAAAATAATATTCAATATTTATTTATTTCCTATTACATCTTATATATATATTACAGCTTTTTAGTAGTCCTAACTGAAGTACATACTATTGTTTATTACCTCTTTATTTGAACCCACAAACATTATAATTATAGAACTGTTATGTAGCAATAACTCAATAAGAATTTGTTCATGAAAGGAATGGATTTCCAAGAAAAAGACTGAAATGAGTAACAACAACAAAGGTTCACTATACGTTTGACGTTTTGGCAAAAACATGGTCTATACTGATTTAACATTGTGATGCTTTTCACATTATTCAGAGTAACCAAATAAATTAATAATAAAAATATAAAACAAAATATGTAACTCAATATTTGAGCTCAAAACGACGTAATTCGTCGTTTATTAGCTTCTTTCATAATCTTTCAGATGCGGTATTTTTAATATCGTCTACATTTTTACAATTACAGTAACTAGCATTTCATATTATGTATTGGGAAAGATATTAAAAGGGGTTGTCCTATTGTGCCTAAGAATAGTAGATAATTTTAGTACAATCCCTGTGGTAATCCCCATCACGTAGGTCATTTTGTAATACTATATACTACATAATAGATATACTTCACCTTTAAATTTAAACAATTCTTTATATGCGATAAGAAACTATCTATTTGTTCTATTTTAGTATCACAGCGACAGCATTTTAAACATCCATCGTTTTTCAATCTGTCCTTTAAATTTTTTGTTAACTCCAAGTTCTCCCAGTTCTGAAAAGATACCATTACAAAATCAAAATATTTTTTACGTAAATGGAATGGTAAACAAAAGTACAGTTGGTATTATGTATATAATACCAAGCGGTAACCGTTGCCTATGTACATGAACAGCACAACGATATCACGTTATTATATTACACCCGTGATACCACTCAGGTGTTGCTATTCCAGTAGAATAAGATGCCTCGACCTGTAATTTCACTATCTAATCTGACCCTACAACCGAAACAGATAGGTCTCAATCTCACCTATTTCACAGAAATACGTGAGACTGAGGTGCCCACAAATACTTTTCACAGTCTATCTTTGATAAATTATTAATTGTTTATAATTCGCATAATTAATAAATAGATTATTACCACTAAAAAATAATTTAGAGGAAAACAGACAATAGGTGAGTCTATTTCTTAATTGAAACATGGTAGGTAGGTATTAATATTATTAATAAATAATTATTCTTTAGCATATTTATTAGACACACACGTTCACAACTCGGCCATTCATTTCGACGGCTGTTCGTAAAATACCTTTTTTGTCCAAATCACTATTTATAGGCCGTCATCTTGTCTCACTCTAGAAAATCCGGAAGTGATAACGTATTCAAGATTCAATGTATTCTATGTTTTCAAGTATCAAAAATTTTATTTGTAAAACATGCTTAATTACATAAGGAGATGGTGTATATATTACACAGTGCCATTTATTTCCAAGAGTAAACAAACCTTATAATAGTGCACTAAAAACACCGACATTTTGTAGTTTGTACATGAATGCCAATATTTGTATTTGATGGATTACCATCGCCAGGAAAGTCAAGAACTTATCCCTTGATATACACACACACTATACGAACCAACTTTGTAAATTTTAATTTCCAAGACCCATTTATAGTGATAAAAGTATAATGCTTAATTTACTAATCTATCTTAAAATATTATAATAATATTCAACTGTGTCAGGACTGACGGTGCCATCTATCTACTATTCATCATAAATGTATATTTATCAACTTATTTCTTATGATAAATATAAATAATATAAAAACTAAAACATTAAGCAATATAAATTAAGATTTAACCGCAATATATTGTTACACTTACGACATTATCACCTGCTTTCCAAGCTATGAAACAATGCTCTTCTGACATATAGCTCTCCCAATCTATTTCTGCAACCATTAACTCGCACACGACACACTTTACATACTTATGAGGCATTACATCGGAAACATCTGAATTTATATGGCGCTTCTGAAATAAAATAATAGTTTTACACTACATTTATCTAATTGGAATAGCAAACAAGCTGATGGTCCATCTAATGGCAAGAGCTAACCTTTACCTATATACATTACCATACGACATGCGTCGTTGTTTTGGAGAATTATTATAACATTCGCTATACGATTGTTGCATCCCTAATCCTTGTTATGTGAATCTAATAAAAACACTATTTATTTAAAAGAGCAACACACAAGTTTCTTGCTCATACTTCTTATGATGAGTCTGCATTCCGAATGAGCGGTAGAACAAAAAAAAGGTGACTATTCAAAAGTGCTTATATTATGTTTATTTGAATAAAGATTATTTCTATTTCTATTTGTATTCCTCATATACTCACCACAAACAGAAATAGACGACGTAAGGACCTTACTGTGGACATGCAAAATAATAAGAAACGTAGCTAAAGCCGTGAAAAAATAAAAAATAGTTATTTTTTTATGTAGAGTACTATTTTGTACCACTTAGTATGATAATGGTAATAATTTCGGACACAGATTTTTAATTCAGTCTTTTCAACTTACACACTATTCATAATTCACAACTGAAATACTTGACACAAACTAAACGAAACGAAAACTTACCCTTCCCTTTTGCTTATCTTTTAGTTCTACACTAGCGCCGGTACCACAATTGTCAATAGGCTTTACGTGGATCTTTTTGTTAGGATTTTCATATATCTTTCTTTGTTTATTTGTGCATAATTCCTGTAAGTTTTAGGAATAATTTTATTAATAATATACATTTAAACAACTGTTATAATTTATGAAATAACTTATTTAGGCAGACTGTAACATAGAATTATACTTAGGCTATATTAACATACCTAGCAAGTCTGAAAGGGTTAAAGGGTTTAAATGAGATCAATTAATGTTTTACACACTCCCCAGCAGTATTGCGTTGCGTAACAAAGTTGAAAAAGTACGTCTGTATGTTGATTTGGAATAACCAGAAATAATAAAATTATTTCACAATTAAAGCTAACTTTAAGTTTGACATAAAAATTGTATATTATTTATTTCAGTTTATTAGATATCACACTATAAGTAAATACAGCAGAAAATAAGATTATCAGCTTTTAAAAATTCATTATTATATACTACTAGTATTTCCTCGACGGGACATCCACCTATACATATAAATAAAATTGGAATGTCTGTTTGTAACATTGAAATAACTGTTTTTACTGCATGCATATGAATATAAATACGGTACATACACCGAAATAACATTTTTTACAATTTTTGTCTGTTTGTCGGTTTGTTCCGGCTAATCTCTGAAAGGGCTGGACCGAGTTTGACGGGACTTTTTTGCCAGGTAGCTGATGTAATAAGGAGTAACTTAGGCTACTTTTATTTTAGAAAAATAAAGTTAAATTTCACGCGGACTTAGTCGCGGGTACAGCTAGTATTACTTAAGACTCTTCTTACAGCATGTTACCACGGCTTGATAAGTATCGGTATATTGTATGTCTATAACCCTATAGTTAGAAATAAATTAACCTGTAAAGTGGCACTCAGACTCACAAGATTTGGAACAAACCAATTTGTTTATGGCATTTATTTATAGTATGTACTATATAAATAAATGTTGATACAATAACATTTAAAATGACTTACAGTACAAGTAACATAAGTTTGAAAAAAAAGCCAAGCACTAAAAGCGATCTATCGTTGATGCAATTTCGTCCAGACAATTGAGAACAGAAACAAAAAATAAAGTAAGTGGTTTATCTTCTTCGGTAGGTGTCATCTCTTAACGGAGGTTGGCGACCATTATGGCGATTTTTACTTTGTCCACGGCGGTCCTGAAAAGGGACTTGGAACTCTTCCTAATCTACTGCCAGAGGTTTTTAACCACGAATTAGTTTATATCTTTGTCTATATATTTTATGCGTAAATAATATGAGTGCAAATAAATAAATCCTTACTTCCTTACTAATATTATAAATGCGAACGTAACTGTCTGTCTGTCGTGCTTTCACGCCATAACTACTGAATCGATTTAAATGAAATTTGGTAGACAGATAGTCTAGATTCTGAAAGAAATTAGGTTACTTTTTAATGCGAAAAAAAGGGTTCTAAGGGGTTGAAAGTGGATACGAAAGGTTGCATGGAAGTATCGTCATTTTTGAAGTTGGAAGCTTGAAACTTATTTTTTATGCTGTTGATCAAATATAAATAAATATGAGATTCAAATTCGGTATAAAATTTACCCTTAGAAGTAAACTAAAATAGGGGATGAAAGTTTGCATGTTTGCATGAATGTTTTGAAGCTAGAATTTTTCTTTATTTTGTTACAACTTGTTTAACGAGTACTACCGACTATACACTTATTTCATTTTAGGGTTTTATGTATCAAATTTGAACCTACCTCTAAGTACATGCAATAAAAACTACGTTAAAATTAAAGCGTTTTAAATAAATACACTACCTCGTAATACATTATAATAAATTAAAAATAAATAACAAATAACAGGTTGTTTTTTATATATTTTCAATTAATTATCTTTAATTTTAATATTAAATAGTACTAGTATAGTAGTATTTTTAATAGAAATAGACATTTTTATGTTAAATATTTATGATTCGATTCACAGATAAAGAGTTTTCTATGTTACGCAATATCTTAGCCATTCGCAAACGAATTTTGATGATTTATTTCGCAATCGATAGGGTTTACTCCAGTATTGTTACTGTACTACATTGTTTACAATGGAATACTATTTATTCAAGAAAAATCACAACAGTATACATACTTGAAAATGAGTTGAGCTACAAGATAAAGCAGAAAGAGATACGACAAACGAGAAAACAACGAAAATTGTATGTTATTATATGATATAAGTAACAACTTTGTAAAGTGTTCACTTACTTCATCTTTTGATTCTAGTTTCACCTCTGTACGTCGTGACGACTTTTCTTGTACAAGGGCACTTGAAATTATTTTGGTGGTCGTGACGAAATCCGAACATATATTATTTGTATCCGTTCCCTTATACATAGGAGATTCCTGCAACATATATAACATTATATTCCAATGCAAACAGTCTTTCAATTAATCAATTGCAATGGTATACTTGCTTTTTCTTTTTATACTCACTGAATTTTCTGAATGTTTACTAATTTCTGATTTCTCTAAAACGTAGATTTCTCTCTCATCCTCGCCACTTTTGTCAACAACTCGCACATCAGTTTTTGTGACATTAACACCACATGACTTTTCAGGCACTTTTCCGGAGTTTATACATAAAGCCAAATCTAAATCGGAACCAATTAAAGAAACGTTACTCCCGATTCTGGAATTCTGGTCATAACTTGGCATCAAAGCTTCTTCAAAGCGATTCATTACATTCCAGCATATATCTTGAACGAATTCAGAGCTTTCATCTTTCAAGTTTTCCAAGATTAAATCTCTATCAACAAATTTACAGTCGTCACTATAAATACTTATTACAGTATCAATATTATAATTCATGTTTGGATGCTTCCAAAAATGAATATGTTCATATAAGTCATAGCATACCAATCTTCCAAAATCACAACATAAACAAAATTGTTGTGTCAATAAATTAGACACGCTAGTTTCTTTGAAGTTATCGTCGCAATCAATATTATCTGCAATAATTTCTTTAAATATATTCTTATAATGAGGTAACGTTTCTCTATGAATTTCTTTTCTACTGACTTTTTTCTTATATGATTTTAGATTTTTCGATTGGAGACTTTTAAATTTCTGGTATTGGCCACCTGGTTTTTCAACTCCCTGAATACATAATTTTGACATAGTCAAATCACTTTTAACATTTGTACTTAATATGTTTTCTACGTCATTATGACGCTGATTTTGTATAAGTAATTTCTTTTTTTCTATCAACTGGGAATATTGACTTAAATAATTTGCAATTTCTTCAACTTTATCCATTGGTGAATTTACAACGACCATAGTATTTACATCTGCTATATTTTTTTCAGTGCACTGTGACTGTGTAATTTGGAGATTACAAACGCTAATCTCATTATTTATTTCTCTATTTTTTTGTTGAATTTGAATAATATTTAAATGTTCACCATTTTGAGAAATAGTCCTTGATTTAATTCCAGCGTCACAATTTTTTATATCTTTAGACTGAAAATGCTTTTCGTCTCTATCCAGATTTTTATAAATATCTGAACATGTGAGGTTTTTACTTCTATTATCTACCTCACAAGTCTTGGAATTCAAACACATATGATTAATTTCAGTACATTTATTACAAGAGAAATTTTTATCACCATCTATATTATTATATATTTTTATAGAAATTTTGTCTTTAGTGTTAGTATTTGTATTAATCAACATGTTTTCTGAATCACTGTCAATGCTGAGAACACTTGAATTCCCAGTACAAATATTCGCGTGATTACCAATTAGTGAGGAAGGTGACTTGTTATAGCGATTTATATTGCTTATTAGTTTTTTACTGCACTTTTGTACTACAACCATTTCATTACTCAAGTTTAATTCTGAAGTGAGATTCGCTATCACAGTTTCTTCTTTACAAATGTTAAGTTTGTTATCATACACACTCTCGTCATTCATTTGATAATCAGTATTGCTAATGTTTACATTTATTGGCTTTTCCATTTCATTTATATATATATCGTCACTCAAGGGAACAGCATCTATATAATTATATTTCACAGTGTCAATGTTATTCACAATATCCTTGTTTTTATATAATACTTTCGGAGACTCGTTTAAAGTTGTAACTACTGTATCTTTCTCTTCAGAAGTTAGATTTGCACAACAATCATTAATATATTCTATCTCCACATTTCCAGTAAATACGTAATTTATACATTGCTCATGAATTGGAATATCTATTTTCTCTAAGTCAATATTGCTGCCAGTAAAATCAGGGGCTATTTCTAAATTCAAAGAATTGCTATTCGAAGTATTTAAGAGTTTGACATCTTTTAATTGGGAATTAACACCAATTTCTTTTTCTTCAGACATAAAATCTTTATCATCATTATCATATTCTATTCCAAGTAAATCAACATTTTTATTTAAAGCATTACTCATTCTCTCCTTATAATTAGGCAGATCTAATGGTAATTTATCATAATTTTTACAATTATTCTTTATAGAAATTACACTATTAATTGGAATTGGAATTAAGGAATTAGCATTTCGACAATTTAAACTTTTAATTTCTTTGAACTGGGATGGAACTACAATTTCCTGAGATATTATATTTACTTTATTGTGTGTCGATTTTCTTGATTGGCTAATATTCAATGTAGACATATTAGTGTTATTATCGTCTAAAACAGAAGGATGGTTGTCAATAGAAATATTTTCTCTTACAGATTGTAAAGAATTTTCAGTGTTATTTAAATGACAGTTTTGTATTTCAGATCTTTCAGTACCATTTTGTAGTAATTTAGGCATACTTTTATCAGACACGAAGTTTTGTATGTCTATCTGTTGGTTAATTTTTGAATGGACTTCAAAGGACTTTGGCCTTAATTCTTCAGATGCATTCTTGTTTATAATTATGTCTGTTATCTTATCATCCAGGTTATTTATGTATTTTTTCATTACGACATCGTTACCATTGATTTCAGGTTGATTAGAAATTTTAGCTATTTCCATTTCACCTGGTATTGAATTAGTAATTGTTGGTTGAAATGAAGGACTTAGAAATACGGACTTTTTCATAAGTTTTGCAGTTTCCAATATAGACGTTTCCTTGGGATTATTTATATTTTTGTATGATTTAGAATTAACATTAGATGGTAATTCAGTGTCTTTGTTATTCGATAAATCATTTGGATGTACTATGTCTGAAAATATATACATATATATATAAGTATAATAAAAATAAGTAGTGGTCGCCCAATAGTCAAATGTCGACAATAATTAATTTAATTTTAAGTTTAAGGACTATACATCTAAGCGTGTGTGGGAACATTACGAAGTATTGTAACAGTGTGTATGAGGTGCAGGCGCTAAGAAAGCTTTCCAAGTAAGTCAACAAAATATACCAGACGCAACTTAGAAAAGTCCTTGCTTAACTAGGTACCTAGGTTAAGTCTGTAGCTATATTTTCTATTTCTTAAGAGATTCATTTTCTAATTATATCCAAACGTACACGTTTTGTGGTGCGAAAAACTGTTGAACTAAGTACAGTAGGGGTAAATTCATGTTTAATAAATACTGGTATATAAAAGTAATATTTTTTCAATGATAATAAAGCATACATATACGAAAGTAAACCCTAGAGATATTGAAATTAATGATCGAACCGGTTAAGAGTTGATGAAGATAATGCGTTTTATATTTATGTTGTGTTTATTACTCTCTACCTAAATAAACAAAACGACTTCATTTTAATCATAGTAGTCCCAGTCGCCCTTTACCACAAGAAAAATATTTAAAGTACATGTTCAATATTTAATATTTATTTCTGGTGTTATTACGAAAGTAAGTTTTTTTATGTTTAGATTCTCTAATTGGAATGGCAAACAATCTAACAACATATCTGATAGTAAGCTATAAACATCGTCTATATACATGAACAGCACCACAGACATAACGTTATCATGTGATGCCCGTGATACCACTAATGCCATTCCGAAGGACTAAGATGCCTCTTATCCTTTTTTTCCTAATCTCAAAAATATCGCTTACGAAGCAAGATGCTTTGCGGCTCAAATAGATGAGACTAAGGTAGGTATCTCAGTCTCGGGAGATGACTTTTTAAGATATTGTTAATAATGGCACCATTGCTCGCAATATAGGGCGTAAGGTGAGCTCGACCTCCACGCGGTCCCCACTGGTTAATTTCTAGTGATATCGCCACAAGGGGCTAACGAACCTCACTTGACGCTCGTACTATCATCCTCCACTGTATATCGTAGTGTAGCCCTACCAGTTAATACTACAGGCGCAAGCAATTGCATTATCCCATTATCAGCAATTTTTTTTTAATTCGATTAAAAAGGTAGATCGTAAGTATGACGATGGACACAATATTTTATAAAATAATATCAAGATACCTTTTATTTATTTATCAACTTCGAAAGTTTAAATTTTTGGAGAATTCGATAGTGAAGACACTTTTTTCTATTCAACTATGGTGGCAATAAAGCATAGGGCCCATTTGATGATAAACTATTACTATATCCTTTGGCGTCAAAAAAAAAGGAGTGTCACGTGAGCATTGCTGATTCTTAAGAAACCTAAACATACGCTTCTTGAAAAGAGAAAACCTTCCAGGAAGGTTTTCTCGAGAGACTACTATATTTACATTTCTTAGGTAGCTCATTCCACAATCTTATGATATGCAGGGGGAAGAGAAATGTCAATTAAAAACATACTTAAAGGGCTAGACGATCTCAAAATGTATTGTAAATTTTTGTTCGCCACCATAGTAAGTAGTATGAAAAAATATTTTATGCTTCTTAACAGACAATTCTCTATCTAAAAAGATCTTAAATCCTTCAGCACTGTCAACCATTCGTAATTGAAAATAACAATTACAGATGGCATTGTCATCAAAAGTAGATATTAATTAGGGAGAAGTTTACAAACACTAAAGTTTTGAAGTGAAACTACAGGAATAATATTTGACAAAAAGTACCTAATAAAATTGTCACCAAGATAAAATAGAAAAATAAAATATGAATAAAAACCATCTAATGAGAACAATGAATAATGTCATACCTGTTTTAAATGGCACTTCAGTTGGAGATTCTTTTGTAACATTTTCTAAATGAATGCCCAACTTTTCCAACAGATTTGGTGGTAAAACAAAAATTTCAGTACTGACAATATTAGCTGATTTAGGTAGTTCACACTTCTTTCGTACAGAGGTCTTTTCAGTGTTCATTTTCAAAGAAAAGTATATCTAATGGATCATAGGTGTTTGAATGTATCAATCTTATTTATATCACCATACTGAAAAAAATATATACAATATACTACAAAAATAATTCTAATTACAAGTATGAAAATAGAAATAATAATATTGATTTTAATTTTACCATTTCTGTTTCCACCACTACACTATTCCTCTCAGTCATACAAAGGTTGACTGGAGAAATCCTTCATTTGGGATTAACCATTGTACAATTTATTTCTTTACATCACTGTATACTTTCATATAATTGTTACAAATGAACAAACAAACACACTTTTATAGTACAATCCAGAAAACTTTATAAAATTTTATACCTACTTGTTTAATCTTGTCTCATAATCCTGAGCTTTACATTATAAAAATGTTTAAATAATTAAATATTAAATAATTAAATAATTTCTATTAACACAATATTTAAAACAAAATTCATTAGTACTGTTACAATTTACAATATTCATGGGTAAGTGGGTGGTGGGTAAAGGGTTTGAAAGTCCTCAATATCTATTATGAACTTATATTATGTAGGCACAAGCACCTTTATGGTTTAAATATAAATAATAATCTCATATATTTATATATAATAAACAAATTCTGCTAGATTTAGATATTATTAAGGAGTGTTTACAATCTGTTCATTTACACTTGGTATAATTATTGAACAAACTTATGTATTTACAACAAAATAACTGCATAAAAACAAAAATAAAATGCAATATTAATTAAATGGGTACATTTTTTAATTGGTTTAAATAAATAAAATTTCAAATGTTTTGAATAAAAAAAGGTACTATAATTGTTTATACTTCTAAGAATACCTAATAAACAAATTATTATTAGACATTTCAATCAAACAATAAAATTGTCTCGAAATTAACTAAGCCACCAGTACATGTTCATATAATATAGGCAAATTATTAATTATAATAATTGATACTACAAAAGTAAAAATAAAATTGTAAGTTTGAGTATAAAATTTAGAACATTACCTAAATAAAATTGAAATATACAACTCAGTATCAGGAATCGAACCATGGACGATAAGATACTAAATTGCACGTGGTAACAGCTGGGCCAAAATGTCAGAAATCATAATTGTATAATTTTCAATCACATTGAAATAACGAACAAGTTTTATTAAAAAAAATATATATATAGTAATTTTTATACCATTTCGGGAATAAAATAAAATTTAATATCTTTAGGACTTACCTACATTGTCGACACTAATCACTTACAACAATATTTAATAATGAGCTGTCCACAACTATCAATACTTATAGGAAGCATTTAACACCAGGAATGTATTTACTCCGAAGAAAATAAAATAATGCACAATTCACATACAAAGAAATACTGTAATTCACTGTACGAAATTAGGTTATAATCGGTAAGAAATATCGAAGTTTTTCAGAAAGAATTCTCTGATATGTACAGTGGGAACACTGTTGTAGTGTTGCCACTATAACAATTGGTAAAGAAAAGCGGCATGTTACTCTTAAACGTTATGACGATTTTCGAAAGTAACAATGATTGTTTCGTATCCCCAATTTTCTACCATGTGCTCTGCCTTCAGTTGGTATTAAATTTTTTCATGTTAAGGCACTATATTATTATGGCACTTTTTTATTCCAGAGTATTGCCAATTTAGCATATTTTATACTAGATATGACATATTTTTACGTTGTTTAGCATATTTATTTGTTGTTTAGCATATCGCATATTTTTTTAGCAATTAATGATTTTATTAAAATTTAAGCGTGAAATTATTCCACTGACAAAAGCTTGTCCCTGTCACACTTACTGGTTAGTGTGAAGGTAACAGAATCAGTCAGAGTAATTTTTACCCTATTTCTGATCCGTTATTAAGATTACCTTTGTCATTATTGGCAATCTGTCGATCAGCATCAACTATCGATGAAGGCCAATATATATATATTTTAATTCAGGGACTTTTGTACAGTGTAAAAGTGCATGCCAGTCCCGTTATACGCTAAAACTAATTACTGCATTACCGCACCATCTCGAATTGACTTAACCACACTATCTGAAAGATGAGATAAGCATCAAGATATACATTTTTTAACATATTATTTATTTTATAACATAACGTAATTAATTATTTAGTTTAGCCTATTTTGTAGTAATCGTCAGTCATTTTGGCAATACTGAAAAACAGGGAGTTGGTAATTTATCGTCTTTATATATATGTGTGTATTCTTGAAATATGATTTTGATTTATATTTTTATGTTTACTTTTCCTAACAATTTCCAACTCTCCTGATCCTGTAATCCTATTCCTAAATTACTACTTGTTTTTAATACGCGTCGATTTCCCTACTTTAAAAAAATATAAAAACCGGCAAATGGCTAATGGCAACACAAATCGCTGGAGCCAAAAGTAGAGAAAAAAAAGAATGAAGTAAATATACCAAAAGGAAGTCACTTGATACAATAAATAAATAAGAAAACAACGGTGTTATACATTTTATTAGTAGAATTAGAATATTTGGCAAAATTTTGCAGTAATCTGATAATATTGTATATGATTTTCGTCTACAGAGCCGTAAAACTACTTATTAAAAAATATCTGAATTGTTTTCATTTTCTTGAGTTACAGTCTAATATAAGATTTATATTTTTAATTAATATTTATTGGGCAACAATAATGGGTGCCCAATCTTTAGCGTTATCATTTAGTGTACAAGCAGAATGTAACATATCTCGGGCTCGTGCCGGTCTTATGAAATTACCACACTATGAAGTTAGAACACCTGTTTTTATGCCTGTTGGAACTCAGGTAAATATACCTATGCATAAAAAAATCTGATATTTTATATCTTTGTTTTCCTTTATTAAATAACGGAAACGTCTAATTTTCTAAACCCTATGGTTCAGGCTTTACATTAATGAATAAGTAAGTCCTATCGATTTTGTTTGTTTAGAATAATCATATATATATTATAATATAATATATTATAATATAATATATATAATATAACATAATCATAATCATCAAGTCTTATTTCAAATTCACTTTGAAGTTGTTGTAAACTGTTTAGCTATAAGATATTATCACTAATCATAAGAATAATTAACAAAAAAACAAAAACTGTTGTTCCAAACAGCTGAAAGCTGAGAAAAATGATAACAGTTGATAATCAAGTATGTAGAAAAGGTCATCTTTATTTATTTGTGACAGATATCTTTATTTTAATAGATATTATATTTCAGGGTACAATGAAGGGATTGTTGCCTGACCAACTTGAGGCTTTAGACTGTGAAATAATTCTAGGTAATACTTATCACTTAGGCAATCGTCCTGGAACTGATGTTCTTGAAAAAGCCGGTGGTCTACATGCTTTTATGGGATGGAATAGAAGTCTTCTAACTGATTCTGGTGGTTTTCAAATGGTTTCATTACTCAAGCTGGCTGAAATAACTGAAGAGGGTGTTAAGTTCAGGTCACCATATGATGATTCCGAAATAATGTTGACACCAGAGAAATCCATTGAAATTCAAAATTGTATTGGTAAGCATTACATTATTTCATATATTATGTCCAGTCCCAGTACCTTCACAGCAATGGAAAAGCAATTTTAACTAAAATAAATGTGCCTGTAACTAATTTATCTAGGATAACAGTTCTGAAGGAATATTTATTATTATTATATATAAAATCTGTAATTTTTCCATGATATACACCATTGCTATTAAAGGGACTATTTGATGATTTAGGATTAAATCTGAAATTTAGTCATATCTTAAACATAAGTAATCATTACATAGTATAAAATAAAGTCACTGTTGCTGTCTGTCACTCCCTATTGGGGTTCATTAAGTTGAAGAAATCGTTGAATTTTGTTCCCGGGAAATCAAGCTCGAGAACTCGAGAAATCAAGTACCTATATAGAAATTAAATTGCCGTTTGTTTTGTTGCGTGACGGCGTAATAATTCAAGATATTAAGGTTTTCTTTCATGTAATTTTTTTTTGTTTTACAGAAACTATTTTTGTTTACAAGTTTAAGGTAGATTTTTTTCTAAATAACCAGCCAAAAATGGTGCTGTCATTATAAATATAAGTCTGAATAATATTAGGTCCTCACATATGAAAGTGGTGTTTTGTAAGGGAGTAACCTGAAGTATTTGTTTTCAAAATATAACATGTTTATTTAATCAAACTATATACTATTGCTATTTATGCACTTTTGCCATCTCATAGGTACTTCATTGATCTCTTTACTGAAAAAAACATTTGAACGAGAACATTTGGACATATCAATAAAATCTTTGAAGGCACTTTGGTCTGCCCCATCGGATTTGAATTTTTTCCCAATCAGTTATCCAAATTTCGAAAAAAATGGTAATCTGTTGGAGCAAGGTCCGGGGAGTACGGTGGTTGTCTTAGACAACAATTACACAACACAATTGAATCTCTTCTAATTTGGTAAATGTCAGTTGTGCAGTGTGTAGTCTAGCGTTGTCCTGAAGCAGCAGTGGCCTATGGCGATTTACCAGCCTCGGTTGTTTAGCAGCTAGCTTTTCCATTATGGTTTCTCAATTGCTGATTCAGCCATTGCGATGAGCGTTTCCATTTCAATTATCATACAAGATCCACATCATCACAGGTAATGATTCGATTTAAAATCCCTTTATGATTATGCCGGTTGACTAATGTAACGCAGCAGGCTACGCGCGTTTGTCGATCGAAACGCGAATTGTCCACTCAATTCATGAGGGACACTTGTCCACTCAATTCACCCACCTTTCAAGCATTTTCACCCTCCCAATTTGCTACAAGTGGATTAATACGGTTTTGTCACTAACACCGCAACCTGCAACTACCTGTAACTCGGACGTGGTTTGCGATGGATCTGTTATCACAATAGCCTTCAATTCTGCATTACCAACCTTGGACTCCGGCCGCCCACGGGGTTTGTTTTGCAGGTCGAAATTTCCAGAACGAAAACGTTGGAACCAAAAATGCATTGTGTTTTCTTTTGCGACACCACCGCCATACACATCATTAATCCTCCGAGCTGGCCATTCGAGCTAGCCATGGCACTAGTGCTGCAGAAGCAGCACTAGTGCCATGGCGGAACTCGTACTCGTACTTGTAAATGACGCGATATTTTAAGTTTTCCATTTTGTAAGCTGAGTGACCCAAAGAAAAAACCAAGCATATGTATTACGGTTTTCGAAAACCAAATACATGAGTGAATAGCCGTATAAATTTGAAATTGGAAATTCCTAACCAAAGAGGAGATATTTAAGATCAATGTGGCCAGTGCGACAAAACGCTAATTTCATATTTAAGAACCTAATATATTTCAGTATTTAAACAAAATTTTGCTTATTCCTAATATGTATAATGTTTTTAAATCTACTCAATAAAAGTTTTATAATTAATTTTATAGTTAAATTTTATATTTAATATTTAACAAATAATGCAGTGGTTTTCCTCTCAAATGAAACCACTGAGTTTTTTGACGTTATTAGAACCAAATAATATGAGAAAACGTACGTAAATGTAAATTTCTCGACAACCCGAGAAGACCCGAGAAATTAACCTCGAGCATTCTCGAGACCCGAGAAATTGAAAAGCTCGAGAAATCATGAACCCTACTCCCTATGTATGCTTAAAATATACTGAAATCTTTAAAACTAAGCAATGGATATCAAACCGTTTTTTTAATAGAGTGATTCTAGGGGAAGTTTTATATACATAATACTACATGTATTATGTATATAAAACTTCCCAGGCAAACTCGAGGCAAATAGCTAGTTACTATATAAATATTTTATGTTTCTCTTGTTATTTATTTCTATTGTTTTCTTAATAGTAGATTACTGGGGGGAGGATTGTTAGTAATGTGGACTCTTGACTTCATTACTAGCAATGTACCATGTCAAGGTTGACCTCCACGCGGTTCCACCTGGAAACCATTGTGATAAATTTCTGGTGAATTTGTCATGATATTCTAACTGACCTGACCTCGTCCTCATCTTATCATCCTCCACTGGTGTCCCGACAGCGTAATTCGTTAGTGCAGGCGGGTGCACCATTTCAATACCATCTCTAAAAAAAATATTAAATGCTAATGATGTGTATATTTCAGAATACACACTTTATCACTGTACACAAATTTACAATTACAGGGGCTGATATTATAATGCAGCTTGATGATGTGGTACAGACTACATTTCAAGATTATGATCGTATTAAAGAAGCTACTGAAAGGACTAGTCGTTGGTTAGATCGTTGTCTTAGAGCCCACAAAAGACCTACAGAGCAGAGTATATTTCCTATAGTACAAGGACTGTTGAATAAGGAGTTGAGAGAACAAAGTGCAAAAGATCATATGACAAAAAATGTGAATGGTTTCGCAATTGGTGGCTTAAGGTATCTAAAAATATTATAAACAAGCTGTACTTGCAATTATGTCCGCATGGAATTTAACTTTCATTTTCTAAAATAAAAGAATTTTTCTAGAATAAAAGTAGCCTAAGTTACTCCTTATCACATTAGCTACTTGCCAAAAAAAGTTCCATCAAAATCAGTTCGGCCATTTCAGAGATTAGCCGGATCAAACAGACAGACAGACAAAAATTGAAAAAAATGTTATTTTGGTATATGTACCGTATTTATATTCATATGCATGTAGTAAAAAATGGTTATTTCAATATTACAAACTGACACTCCAATTTTATTTATATGTATAGATAACCTTTCATTATAAAATTCATAATTACCAATATTTTTTTGCATGTATAAAAAAAACAGACAATAGAAATAATTGGACTAATCAGATGGTACAATACCATCTCATTAGTCTCAGTTATTTCTATAATATATAAAGCTGCATTACGGTGACTCACTCACTGATTGACATAGTTGTTCTCCCAGAAGGAGCGTCCGGGGGTCGAGACGATGTATGGGGGAAATGTTCCTTTGGCTAGGGTGACCACGAGAAAATTCCGAAATTTGGGAAAATCCAAGATGGCGGACAAAGATGGCGGCTAACTTTTACAGTTTCGCTCGGATCGATTCCGTTCAAAGAGTGATTTGGCACGTCTCGGCGGGACCCAGAATATGGCGTAAAAACAAAAAATTAAAATCCAAGATGGCGGCGAAAAAATTGCCAAAAACTGGTTGAAAATTTTCTAGGGTTTCAAAAACCGAAATTCCCAGGGTAGTTGCGGGGGTGCTGGCGACACCGGTTGTAGGGCATAGGAAACTCGAAGGACCCGACCTCTAGGGAAAATTATGAAATTTCGAAAATCCAAGATGGCCGACGAGTTGGGGGCGTGTGAATTTGGTCCTAAAAATCCGGATTATTTTCAAAATCATTTTTTAGGTACAGGGCAACCCCGCAGCGAGTCGGCTTCTATGGGGCGATGATGGGTCTCGGTAAGAAGTATTGCCAGCGATAAAAAGAATTTCCGAATTTAGGGTAATTTGGGAGAAATGTCCCAAAAAGTGGGAAAAAATTTTTTCGGCATTTTTGACAAAAGAGGCATCAAGGCCTATCGAGAAACATCCCCTAAAGGGTTTTAGGTGGGTTTTGTTGGAATTTGCTGGCAACACCCATACATGGTTTGACCAAAATAGAAATTGGGGTGTCTCTCCAAAAACTGAAATTCCTAGGGTACTTGCGGGGGAGCTACCGATCCCTATTATAGGGCATTGGGAGGCTGAAAGACCCGGCCTCTAGGGAAAATTATGAAATTTCAAAAATCCAAGATGGCGACCAAGCTATGGGAGATTTAGTTTTTGGAAAAAATTTGGGATATTTTCAATCGAGTTTTTGCTGCACATGGCAACCCTGCAGCTAAACGCCACCTACTGACATGGGTAAGTCTGAGTAAGAAGATTTGCCAGGTCTAAAATTTTTCCCCGATTTTGGGTTAATTTTGGAAAAAAGTCCCATAAAGTGGGAAATTTTTTTTTTGACATTTTAAATGAAGAACTCGTTTTGGTCTACCACAAATCGTCCCCTGAAGGGTTTTAGGTGGATTTTTTCAGAATTTGCTGGCAACACCCATACATCATCGGACAAATTTTGAAATTGAGGTCTAGCTTCAAAAACTGAAATTGATAGGGTACCTACGAGTATGCTAGCTCAACGCACTGTACGGCGTCGGATAGCCGAAGGACCCGGCCTCTAGGGAAAATTATGAAATTTTAGAAATCCAAGATGGCGGCAGAGATAGGGGAGTTTTGCTTTTCGGAGAAAAATTGGGATATTTGTAAATGTAGTTTTAGGACACTTGGCAACCCCACAGCCAGTCGACTTCTATGGAGAGATGATGTGTCTCAATACAAAGTATTACCTGGTATAAAAATTTTCCCCGATTTTAGGGTAATTGTTGAGATAGGTCCTAAAAAGTGGGAAAAATTTTTTCGATATTTCAAACAAAAGAATGATGAAAATCTGTCAAAAACAATCCCCCTATTGATTTTAGGTGGTTTTTATCAGAATTATCTGGCAACACCTTACATCAGTATTCTTAGAGAATAGTACTAGAAGGAGTCACCGAGGCTCTATACAATGTATGAACGAAATGTTTCTGTCACTAAGGTGAATACGTCAAAAGTATTAAAAAGTAAAAATCTAAGATGGCGGCCGAGTTAGGGTACTTAATTTATGTTGACATTTTTAGGGACTTTTAAAAATTCAATTTTGGGGTGCCACTAAACCTTGCAGCGAGTTGACTTCTATAGAGCAATGGAAATTCTCGGTGGGAAATATTACCTGGTCCAAAAAATTTTCCCGATTTTGGGGTAATTTCGAAGAAAAGTAAAAAAACGTGGAATTTTTTTTCGTCAATTTGAACAAAACAGTGATGAGCATTGTTCCAAAATTATCCCTCAAAGGGCCCTAGGTGGTTTTTGTCAAAATCTCCTGGCAACACCATACATCGATTTTCATAGTAAACCGTACTAAGGAACTCCTAGGTGTATGTAACCTGGGCTCTGTACAGTATATGGATGAAATGTTTCTATCACCAGTGTATATGTTAAAAGTATTTAAAAAGAAAAAATCCAAGATGGCGGCCGAATTAGGATACTTTATCTATGACGACAATTTTAAGAACTTTTTAAAATTCAGTTTTTGGTACCTATCATCCCTGCAACGAATTGACTTGTATTGAGGAATGGAAACTCTCGGTGCGAAGTATTAACTAATTTTCATAGTAAACAGTACTAAGGAACTACTAGAAGGAGTCACCTTAGCTCTGCACAATGTATGGACAAAATGTTTCTGTCACCAAAGTGGATAAGTTAAAAATATTCAAAAATGAAAAATCCAAGATGGTGGCCGAGTTTAACTATTTTATCTCTGATGATAAATTTAGGAATATATTTTGGGGTACCTGGCTTCCCTGCAGCGAGTCGACCTTTATTGAGCCATGGTAGATTTCGGTTCGAAATATTATCTAGGCTACAAATTTTCCCCGATTTTTGGGTAATTTTGCAAACCCAAAATGTGGGAATTTTTTTTTCTACATTCTAACATAAGAGTGACTGGGATCTATAATAAATCTCACCTTAATAGTTTTATGCGATTTTTTGTAAAATTAGTTGGCAACACCATGCATCGATTTTCGTAAAGAGTAATATTTACTAAGGACCCACTAGAAGGATCGTGTCTCTGTACAATATATGGATGAAAAAGGAAAAATGATATGAAAATTTACCCCGATTCTGGGGTAATTTAGAAGACAAATCCAAAAAGTGGGAATTTTTTTTTCTATATATCAAACAAAATAATGATGGATATCTGTCAAAAATCATCCCCTTATGGGTTTTTCGTGGTTTTTGTCAGAATTAGTTGGCAACACCTTAGATCAGTTTTCTTAGGGAATAGTACAAGAAGAAGTCACCGAGGCTCTACATAATGTATGGACGAAAAGTTTCTGTTACTAGGGTGAATACGTCAAAAGTATTAAGAAGTAAAAATCCAAGATGACGGCTGAGTTAGGGTACTTTTTTAAATTCAGTTTTCAGGTACTCATTGTCACTGCAGCGAGTTGACTTTTATGGAGCAGTGGAAACAAGGTACGAAGCACTACCTGGTCTAAAAATTTTCCCCGATTTTAGGGTAATATCGGAGAGAAGTAAAAAACCGTGGGATTTTTTGTTTCATCATTTTAGACCAAACAATGATGCCGATCTGTCAAAAATAATCCCCAAGGGGTCTTAGGTGGCTTTTGTCAAAATGAGCTGGCAACACCATACATCGATTTCCATTGTAAACGGTACTCAGGAACTACTAGAAGGAGTTACCTTGGCTCTGTACAATGTATGGACGAAATGTTTCTCACCTGAAGATGTATATGTTAAAACTATTTAAAAAGGAATCATTCAAGATGGCGGCCGAGTTAGGGTACTTTATTCCCGATGACAAGTTTAGGGACGTTTTAAAACTCATTTTTGGGGTAGTATTTTATTCCTTACAGCAAGTTACTTCTATGGAGCAAAGACGTGAAGTATTATATAGGCTACAAATTTTCCCCGATTTTTGGGTAATTTTGCAAACCTTAAATGTGGGAAATTTTTTTCCGACATTTTAACATAAAAGTGACGGGTATCTATAATAAATCTCATCTTTATAGTTTTATGCAATTTTTTGTAAAATTAGGGGGCAACACCATGCATAGATTTTCGTAGAAAGTAATATTTACTAAGGAACCGACCGAATATTTTAAAAGGACCGTGTCTCTGTACAATATATGGACGAAATATATCTGTCGTCATGTAATATATACGTCAGAAGTATCAAAATGGAAAAATCCAAGATGGCCGCCGAGGTTGACTTTGAACAAAATTTGGAAGATTTTTTTATTTTGGTACATGGTAACCATGCAGCGAGTCCGCTTTTATGGGATGGCATTGAATCTTAGTATTGCCAGCGCTAAAAACTTTCTCCGATTTTAATATTTATGATATTTTAATTAAAAGAGTGTTGAGTGGTTATTATTTATCATAGGTCCTTTACCTACGATAAATAATAACCCTAAGGCTTTTATCAAAATTGTTTGGAAAACTTTACTATGAAAACCGATGTAAGTTGTTACAACGGTTTTCATAGTAAACTATTAGAAGAAGTTGACAATGTATGGACGAAATGTTTTTGTCACCCGGGTAGCTAAGTCAAAATAAAAAAAAATAAAAAGTCGAAATGGTATATAGAATGGTATAGTAAACAAAAAGGTAGCTTAGTTTAGGTTTTGTATTATGATTTCTACATTAAAAACTGTGAACCCAAATTAATATAGTATACAGAAAGGTAGGTAATGTGAGGTTTTGTATTGTGCCCATTGCAATACAAAACTTCGAAATGGTATATAGAAAGGTAGGTTAGGTTAGGTTTTGTATTGCGACTCTTACAGTAGAAATTATGCCCTCAGAATAATATAGTAAACAAAAAGGTAGGTTAGGTTAGGTTTCGTATTATGATCTCTACATTAAAAACTTTGACCCCAGACTAATATAGTATACAGAAAGGTAAGTTAGGTTAGGTTTCGTATTGTGACCATTACAATACAAAGTTTCGCCACAGGATGGTACACGTGAAACAAAAATTCACTGTTACAATAGGAAGTCACCTAATCGTATCAAAACAGACAACTCTACTTGCCAACTAAGTCTATTCGAAAAGAAAACCGTCTTCACAAAAAAAATCAACGACAACGCCTCGCGGGCCTCTTGAGGCCCGCGCACACACGCACCCTCTAGTCTTAAAAATAAAATTGAAACAAATGACTCTAGTTCATCAATTCACAAAAAGTTTTACACAACTGTATAGGATAAAATGTTCCATATATATCTCTCATAATTTTGATTGATTCTGTTAACTTTTTTTGAAATAGTTATATCTTAAAAATATTATAAACGCGAAAGTTTGTAAGTATGGATGTTTGTTACTCTTTCATGCAAAAACTACTGAACGGATTTTGACGAAACTTTAGTTAGTAATATAGCTTATGCATCCGAATACCACATAGGCTATATTTTTTATTGGAATTTAACATGGATGACCGTGGGCACAGCTAATTGTTTATAGTTTTCTTAATTTCATATTTAATTTTTATAGTGGTGGTGAAGCTAAAGATGACTTTTGGCCTATGGTAAGTCTTGGTACAGGAATACTAGATAAAAACAAACCGCGGTACTTAATGGGCGTTGGATTGGCAATCGATCTTGTTGTCTGTGTTGCACTTGGAGTAGATATGTTTGACTGCGTATTTCCCACAAGAACTGCCGTAAGTGTAACTTGTTTAATTTTGTAAAACTATAACAGTAAAGTAGGTAAAAACTAACAGCTTTACACATTTTCCAGAGATTTGGATGTGCTCTTATAAACAAAGGACAATTAAATTTAAAACAAAAACAATTTGAAAACGACTTAAATCCAATTGACACTGACTGCTTATGCTCCACATGTAAAAATTATACAAGAGCATATTTACATTGTATTGTAACTCTTGAGACAGTAGCTTGCCATTTGATATCAATACACAATATTGCTTTTCAGGTAAAATAATATTTTAAATTTATATTAATAATTATTTAACAATTATAGACCATACATTAATTCAGGTGTATTTAAACTGAGCGAGAATCTTTCTTTCACTTTACCCCCTATTTTTGTTTAGTAGTAACTTTATAATAAATCATACCTATAGGTATGATTTTCTATCAATATTAACTATGCTTATTATAGCTTATGCTTCTACAGTATAGAAAATAATTGTATGTTTCAAAGTTCTGTTTTTAGGGAAGAATGAGAAATATATGGATGAGAAATATGTTACAGTGTCACAAACCTATCTGACTCATGACCGAATCTGGAACTAATATAAAAACTGAAAATTATATTTAGCTGCAGTGTTCAATTTTTCAACAACAATGCTATCATCAGGTTAGATAGGTTTGTGGAACTGTAGTAAAATCTAACTCCTATAAGTCTAGTAGTCTGTATTACCAGTCAATATATTTAAACTACAAAATGCTAGTTTTGCCTAAAAGCTCATAGGGACTACTCTGAATTGGTTGATTGAACACTGAAATTATTGACTTTCCTTTTCAGATGCGTCTGATGAGAACCATGCGAGAACATATTGAAAAGGGAACATTTCCTCAATTTGTGGAAAAGTTTGTGAATGAATTGTACTGCGATGGTAATTACCCAACATGGGTTATTAATTCTTTAAGTTCAGTTGGAATAAACATAATAAAATAGAAGTCTTCATATTTTATTAAATTAATTAAAGTAGCAAACACTACTAAAGGCTAATGTATTGTGTATATAAAACACTAAGTCCTCGAAATGTTTAATGTGTTGCCCATAAGAATTACTTGGGGTATTGATGAGAAAAATTGGACGTTATATTTCTATTTAATACTTCAATCCAGTTACTGCACTAAAATTTGAAAAGTAATACCAATTTTTGAAAAAAGTTTTTTAATGCAATTTATTAGTGAGAATATTGGAAGAGTAAGCTATTATATGATTTTCTGTTATAGTATGTAGGGGTTAATATATTGAATTAATAATTTATCTTATATTTATATTGTATTTGCATTGTTGACTTCTAAGTAACAACACCTCTTTTGTGTATAATATTTAATTCTGTAATTAAAGAAAGTAATTCCCAAAATGCTGACAAATTTAAACTGTAATTAGATAAATATTCAGTATTGAGATGGAACTGCAGATTCTGGCAATACAACTGGTGAGGAGAGTGAGTGAGATATGTGTCATCTTTTATCAGATACTGGAATTATATGGCAGCTCCAGTTTGTGTTATATGTATATAATGTTGATGAAGTGAAGAGGTTTTGATCAAACATAAATAGAAGGATACAAAGACTTATGAGACAGTTTCTGAATGACCCATTAGCTGCTATAGCAACCAGATGCAGTAAAAGTTTTTCTTATTCTTCTGCACATAGCTACATCTTATTTTATTTACAAGCATTGCAGCTGTAGTACTCAATCACAAAGTTTACATACATAAAATCTATTAATATTAAAACAGCAGGTAACAACTTATATGTAAACAATTTTTATTTCTCACTTTCACATAAATTCATCAGAATCATTTCCATCATAATTTGTTGTCATATTTTCTTTTTTCATCAATGTGGAGTAGTTTCTTAGTTCAGCTTCTTCCTTTTTTCTTTTCTCTTCTTCCTTTTCCTTATCTTTCTTTTCTCTTAACAATTTCTTTTTATCTTCTCTTTCTAATCTATCTCTAGTTTCCCGCTCTTGTCTCAAGTCAGGAAACTGTTCTTTTTTAGTTTTATTTAATCTATTAACAATTTCATTACTTCTTTTTGCTACTCTCACTTTTCTCACATCTTTATCTTTGTGAAATGCTACTTGTCCCACCTGTAATTATTTAAAAACTTTTTTTAAATAAGTATAAATAATAATAATATGCATAGAAAATACCAATACATACGACCAAAATATTCATGAAGAATATCATTCAAGGAATTGAAACTGCAATTCTTTACATGATACAAAATGGTAAACTGGAATATTAATACATTTTTAATATTTAGATTAAATACTGACCTCCATTCCTGCTGTCTTTTTCAAATTGGACCACATTGTATATACAATGTCTATATCATTCATTTTATTTCCATTTATAGAATTTGCCTTCACTAGCTGACATGCATCATCAAGAACTGAATTTGGAATATCATCTATTGTCTGACCCTAATTTGTAAAAAAAAAATTGTGATTTGGATTATACAATACATAAAATATTCACTTTAATAATAAAAATATAAACCCTTAGATTTTTGAGAAAAGATTTTATGATGTTGAGTCAAAATATTTCAGGGAGTCTTAAATTGCAAGTAAATAAGTCAACACATTACAAAGCTATAATTAAATTTGATTACATTTAGCATGCAACACTCAGAAAATGTTAGTTTGTAGATATCATAAAAGTGAAAATATGTCTGTCTGTCTATTACCTTTTCACATCTAAATTAAAATCCTGAACCAATTTTATTTAAATATTACAGAATGAGTGTTACCACTATCTTTTCTCAAAAAAATCTGGAAGAAGATACAACAGGGGGTGCAATTTGTGCAGACAGTTGTGGGTATCATCTTATTATTTTATTAATATTATAAACAGGAAAGTGAGTATAGATGGAAGTTAGTTACTCTTTCACACAAAAATTACTCAACGGATTTTGATGAAAGAATACAGTAATATAGCATATACATTACAATAACATATAGGCTATATTTTATTACAATAAGTAAAACTATATTTCCTAATAATATTTTAAAGGAATTATATTAATTAGATAACACATACACTGGATGAAAAGTGGCGATTAAAACTTACAGGTGCTAGTCGCAGATACACATGAGCAGATGACACCTTATCAACATGGAACCATACATCTTCTGGCCATCCCCATTTTATAAGGTCTTCGTCTGTAAAATGTTTGTGTGAAAATTTAATCTTTATTTTAAATTTAGACACAAGCGAATTTGTTACATACTCATTTTACTTATGTAAATAATGTGTATTTTATACTTATTATAATATAATAATAGAAAAGGTAACATTGGTAGTTAGGTTAGACTTAAAACTAGAATGAAATTCAATTATTGTCATAAATTCACATACTTTCATGTTTATCAGCCCCCATAAACAACGTTACTGATGGAGAAACTACATTACTAGTAAAGTAGAACACCATATTTGCTTGAAACTAAATATTAACTTATTCTTGTTTGTTATTATTTGCTCGGTGATTAAAAAGAAATAGAAACGTTAGCAACTACCCTTAGATTATAGGTATATATAGAAATCTTAAGGGATTATTATTTAATTTAAAGGTGTTGAATATAAAGTTTTATTTTAATTTATAAAATACTATTATAAATAATATAATAAATATGAAATTAAAAAAAAACGACAGTATATTAATGTTACCAGATTCTTAAGAAAGAAATGGGTGATGTCGTTATAGTGCTAAATCTTCAATTACATAACGCGGATTTGTGCTACTATGTGCTAATTTTTAAAAATTACTTTATTTATTCATTTTTATTTCAGATTTATTACACTATCAAATTATTACTAAAAATGAATCGTATCATAACTGTACTACAATAATTTTAAATTTAGCACTTTACTGGTAGTGTCGTCAGCGGACGTTCCCGTGATGGGCCGTTTCCCATAGACTATTTTAAGAACAATTTGGTTTTGGAAAGAAAATAATATATTATAAAAATATAGGTTCCTTCTCACCTTTTAAATAAGAAAACAGATTGAATTTTTTCCACTGTGAATACTTCTACAATTATTAATATATATTTACTGTTCTGCCCAATATACGGAGTTCACAGTTCCAACCTATCAGTCTGTACCTGCTGTAACTCTATCCTTTCAAAAACTCGAGCGTTACTTTGTGTGGAATATTGGAAAGTGCAAGTAGGGGAAGGAGAGGGTGTATTCATCATGGAAGATATATGGAAAACCGAATTTTTCTGATTATGAAAAATATAAATTCTATGACTTTATAAGACTTAAGTCGGATTTCACCAAAGAAATTGATCACGTTTAGTTCGTACTGAACGCCATCAAAATGTTTTAACGTGTTCAAAGCTTCATTTTGCATTTCACCACAACAAATTTCGCTAAGCACGTTTATAAATTCTGAACGTCTGATTTCCTACAGTTAACTCTTTAAACGTATTTAAAGCAGCTGTCGGTTGTCAAACAGTCGTCAATCAAATTTTTTACAATACAATATCGGGAATAAAAAGAAAATTGCTAGTAATATAAAAAAAATATCAATAAAATATTTTTTTACTAGTTTATAGGTGAAGGTTGTTGTTTTATACTTTGTAGTCGACGGTACTTATTAAATTAAAAATTAAAAAACTTATCCTAATTATCACATGATTGAATTATGAATATTTCTTAGAATTATTTTATTTAAATTACCCATTGCATCAAATATTATTTTATGAGCGTGTAACACTGTGAACGAATGAAAATCTAAACTTCATTCTGGTAAACGCCATCTGTATAATGTTGGTGAATTCCATTTAAAGTAAAACGAGATCAACGTCGTTCTTTTTTTCGAGTTCACGCTGAACTCCGTTTCCTTGAACGTGTTTATGCTACGATTGGTGAAATCCGACCTTAGGGTTTTATATAGATACACTATTAAAAATAATTTATGAACATTCCACTTCCATCCGTTTCCAATGCTGCCAATCGTACTCCAACGTCTCGAGAACGTGAATGGAGTACGAATTGTGAAGGATTAGGTATAAGGATGGCGAAACAAAACTATATATAGAAAATTATTTATTTTTATCTTAGAGCAATTACAATGAATGGTATAGTAAGCTACAAAAGCAAAACAATATACAACTAGATAAATTCATTTTAAACACATGTCAAATAAAATATAAAAAAGTAATTCAATATATAATATATATAATTTAATATACAATCTATAGTACGAAATATCCGTCTCGTTTCCTGTTTTTAGTGGCATAACAGGCAACACTAGCCAAATAAAAAATAATATCACAGTCCACTGTGTAGCTCACAGAGACTAAAATAAGTGATCCTATACTTCCTCTATAGCATGGACTCAGTCACAGAGTAAAATACATAACAACATAAGTGTATATTTTTTGCATCACTATATTTTGTTTATTTATATAAATAATAATGGGAAGTCCAGAGCGCGAATTATGCCCTCCACCCTCAGAAGAAGATGATTTAACATTACCTAGAGCCAGTATTAACAAAATGATAAAAGAATTGGTGCCATCAGTACGAGTCGCATTTGAATCTAGAGAATTAATATTAAATTGTTGCACAGAATTTATTCATTTACTAAGCTCAGAAGCCAACGAAGTCTGCAATCAGAACAATAAGAAAACTATTAATGCTGAACATGTACTCACAGGTAAAACTTAAAAATCATATACCAAGCCATCTGGCCATGATGGTGGTAGGTAGTCAATCTTTCTCTTATTAGACGCCTGTTTCCTGCAGTGACACAATGGTGTGATGTTATAGTGATGATGATGTAATCACAGAATAGAATAGAAAACAATTACTCGTTTAAACTTAAATTTAAGCACTTCTGAAAAGTCACAGTTATCTTTTTTTCATCGCAAGAAGAACAAGCAGGAAATGTGCATGTTGCTCGTTTGAATAATTGGTGAAACTTTGCATTTTTAAATGTGTGATTACAAACTACCTACTGGCACAAATTTATTTATACAAGATTAAATCAGTTTTAGCAATTACAACAGACCAGCGCCACAAGCAGCACTCATTCAGGAGTATGAAGGATAAACCAGCCATCATTGTGCTCAACTATAGAACTCTACAGATATAACTTTGTCTATACATATAAATAAAATTGGAGTCTTTGTAATATTGAAATTAAAATAACAATTTTTTACTATTTGCATAGGAATATGAATATGGTACATACACCAAAATAACATTATTTACAATTTTTGTCTGTCTGTTGGTTTGTTCTGGCTAATCTCTGAAATGGCTGGACTGGCTGACAGAACTTTTATTGGCCTTTATTTTAGAAAAATAAAGTTAAATTCCATGCAGATGAAGTTTTGGGTGTAGCTAGTTACAATTAAGCTTACTTATGCCTCATTAATCACATTATTTTTTTTAATTTACAGCACTAGATAGATTGGGCTTCAATGATTATACATTAGAAGCTGAAGCTGTTCTTAAAGATTGTAAAGCTGTGGCAGCTAAACGAAGAAGACAGAGCACACGACTTGAAAATTTGGGAATACCAGAAGAGGAATTGTTAAGACAACAACAGGAACTATTTGCAAAGGTTATTGTTACACACATTAGTTATTAGAACAATAAAAAATAATATTTACTATGAGATGACTAATAGCTAACTATGAACTTAATAGAAAGTGGTAATAGTTTTAGTAGGAATTGTTGTGGTTTACACATAGATAATTTTTTTTCAACTTCCTTGACATCTACAATCCCAGATCCACAAGGGCCTTCTTCTTCTGTTGCATTTGTAGCTTCTAAATAAGTCGAGCTTGTCTTTGGTGCTTCTCGCGTCAGAGATCATCATACACTATCCATCCTTTTTTTGGATTTATAAATTCTTAGGCTCCTTCTTTGATACAAGGGAAGTTTTTACCAGAAGTTTTCACTGTAGGGAATATATATTATATTATCCATATTTTCATAATGACATATGTATTATATATAAAATATTATATTAAAGTATGTAATAGATATGATATTTAAAAGTTTATGCATGTTTGTAATGTACACTTATGTATTGTTGATCTGTTTTAACTTATAAATAATACTTTTAACCAGGGCATCATAAGTAGCAAGAATTTCCGGCTTCTTATTATGATTTTCGTCAAATTATAAGGAGAGTCAATCACATATAGGAGGCATGTCTGTTTGTGTTCATGCCGGTCACTTTCAAATATGGCGCAGCTACTGTAAATGCAAATGTTCGACAGTTTGCTCGCGATCTCCATCACATGGACAACTAGCATTGTCAAAACCCTTTAATGTTAAAATTGCATCAATAATTAGTTTCAAACCCCCTAGCTTAAATTACAGCATATTGTTTTGGATAAAAAGGTAAAAAAATCAGATCTAATGAGGGTTTCAACGCTGTTTCCGGCACCTCAAAATATTTTTTTAATACATTCTGTCTACACACATTCACAGACCCTTCCCTTCTTCCATTGAACCCGAGACCAGCCACAGGTCTTCATATTTTTTAGGGGGGTAAATACTGAAATAACCCACTCACCTACAATTTTCGAACTAGTGTTACTGTTAATTATTGGGTCTTTTTTAATAATTATATCTTCATTTTTAAATACATAGAACATTCATGATAGAAGCCAAAGTGTGGTTGTTTTTGAGGGATAACAATTTTGTCTTGCACTATAATATGGAGTACACATGAAATTAAAATAAGTGTTTTAATAATTTAAAGTTTCAAGTCCGTTAAAAACTATTAAAATATCAACTTACTCTCAATCGGCGATGCCTGGTCCATAGAGTATTCCTTCCTCTTCCTCGTGAAACTCTTTTAAAGCAGATTGTTCAGCTCTTGAGTCAATCCTGGCTTGTTTAACGACATCACTTACGCGCCGCTCAGAGCGTAAGATTCGCTTTTCATCCCGTTTCTCAACATACGCTTGGGCTTCACGACCAACAGGGCATCCCATAATCGACATAACTTTTAAAATACCTTGAAAACCTTCATTAAAGATAATAACTGCTAAGTAGCTAGCAATTTCAACAACTTTGGGACCAGAATGAAGATGTTTAGGAGCGAAAGTCCAAATCAAAGAATTCAAAGATTCGTTATTGTTTTGTGTCTCTGCTCCTAAACAACGAATTAATAATTCGTCTTTCGATAAATCTTCGAAAACCGGTTTGATAGCTTCTTGGACTTGCGGAATTAGAGGTGGTTTATCGTGATGAAATTGGTCCAGTTCATTATTAGCTTCAGCCTTACGCCATTTACACCAACTGTCTTCGCCTTCTGGACAAAATTGATGCTGAGGGTTTTCATCAGAAGAACATTTGTGATAGTACGTTGCCCAAACTTCCTTTCTCATATCTTCAAGCGAATCTGGATGGCGTCGAATTGCTAATCCGTAGAATTTTGTAATTTCTTGGATAACTTTATCAGTAAGTTTACCTGCTCCTTTTCTGTTTAAGTCTGTAGAAACGTGTCTAAACTTGTATAAACAAATATATTAATAAAAGGGAGGCCAGGTATAAAGCCGACGGTACACAATAGGCCCGGTCTCTAACTGCCAACTCACCGCTCCGAACCGCTCTTTCTTTTACCTGCTGTATCTTTAAAACGACTTCGAATTTTCTAAAATCGCTTTACTACCGTATTCTAGACATGTTAAGGGAGCAATTTATGATAAAAAAAAAAATCGATTTTTTCAACCCATCACATAGGAAGACCCCCTTAATAAGCAATTTCGTTCGTTCCGTTCTGCACTTAATAATGGAAATGTCTCACGAATATTCCAGTCGCGTTCGATTCATCTTATTGTCATTTTATTATTGGTCAACTCTCGTAGTTGAAATGTCCTAACCGTCACGATGTCGTCAATGGACGTTCTTATTGACCCCGACGACTCTGAAACGGTAGCAAACTTCCCTAAGCTTTCTGCAATTCGGTCCCTACTTCGCTATCACACAACACAGTACACTGTTTTCGCCGGCGAAGGCAACAACGTCGACCAGATCAAACGAGCACCTGGTGCTTGTGAGCACCGTGGCGCCTGGGTGCTTCATTCAGACGCTTCCAATCGATCGTTGTTGAACTATTGATTTATATCCTAAACGTTTCTAATTAATATTTAATCGTTTGAATTAACCAACTCAAAATTAGATTCATTCGGACAAATAATATTCGCCCAACCTTCCTCGTACTAATGTCGATGTTCTAAACACCACACCACACACATATCTAAATTCTTGTTCTTCTCAGACAATCATGGCTTCTTCTATGCCTTGCAATCCTTGAGCTCAGATTATTCTAGCAAGTTTTTAGTAAAATATAAGTTGTTCGGTATTCAGCATAGGTATATAGGATTGAACTAAGAAATATACTATAGTAATAAATGATACTTAAACACTTAAGCAAAATTAGGGCTAATCATCAATTAATTGTAATAAATTTTTAATTATATTTATATTTTTATTATTTTATAGGCCCGAGAAGAACAAGCTAAACAGGATCAACAACAATGGTTGCTGCTGCAGCAACAAGGACTTGTTGGTACTGAGGGCACACCACAACCATATGTTCCACCACCTACATGCATTAAAAATGAAGACGATGAAGATGATGACTACTCCTAGATACTGTTATAGTCAACATTAATATATGCGTATTAAAAACAAGCAAGTCCTGATTAGTCTTGGAAATGCAAGTTGATGTTTATCAGTTCTTTTTTTAAGCAATTAATATAAAATAATAATCAATTCCAGATAAATAACAAAAAATACTAAAAAATGTGTAGGAATAGAAAATACTAAATATTGTTACTTATAAATTACTTATTACTCTACACTAAGCAGCATTTAATAGTTATTTGTAATTATATAACAGAAACAATACCGCAATAATATATAATCAATTTAAATGAAAACTTTTTTATTTTGGCTATTTATTAAATTATATGTAGGTAATTACGTAATATACGAGTCCTGGCTTTAAGATCGTTAATGACAAAATACATATACTACGCAGATCTTTTTTATATTTCCATAAGAGGACATGCCTACATTGCCACAAAGTTATTTCCAATAAATCCATTTTATCCTATTCTAAATTCCGTGTCCTAATATTATTAATTTTTCTAACGAAGTTTTCTAGATTTTGTCTTTGGCAAATGCACCAACGTGCCAAGCCAATATAAAAATTATTTCATATTCATATTCATTTCATATAGGTCATTACAAGTGGTCGCCCAGTGGTCGATATTCGAACTTAACTAATTTAAATTATAAGTTTGAATATTATTATGGTTCTAATTCAGATTACTGTTACACAACATTCTTTTTATATTATATTTATATTTGTATATAGAAACCGAATACCGTTCGTATTTCACTAATAACTAAAATATATATTGTGACAAACAAATTTATTGTGGTTATATTTGACATTCAGTAAGACTATAGATAAACAATATTAATCCATTCTCAATTTGACCACAGACTTTAATATTAAGCATAAGAATATATACGCGTAATCCCTTAGCGGTGCCCTCAGACTAAAGTCGTCAGTCAGTCAGTCAGGCGGGAGTTGGTCTTTAGCCGCTCCACAAGTCCTTCCGCGGGTTTACAGTGCCATTGCACTCATAGAGCAAGAGCCCACGACGCGACGGCCAGACATACGTCATTTTAGTAAACTGTTACGAGCAATATGTGAAAAAATGGAGCATCTTAAAATAACGAATTTGATATGAAATTGTATACACCGTTGTTACCCAATATACGGTTTCAATGAGTCTGGTATGATAAGAAACCAAGAAAACTGTCTGGCAATTTAGGAAACTCAGTTTAATTGTTCTCTCAATAATATATATAAAGTTCAGCTTTATTAAAATGACGTAAGTTTATTTCTAAAATAGTATAGTTTAGGGGGGTCCGGCGGGGGGTTGGAACCACACTAAGTGTCTGGCAATGAGCAGCGCAAGTTATAATAATGCTACGAACAATATATGAAAATATGATGTTTCTTAAAATAACGAATTTGATATGATTTTTTTTACACCTTTGTTACCTGGTACCTGCCAAAGGAACCACGATCCAGATTTCATGTTTGGGGATCGTTCTTACCTGTGTTGGGGACACACATACAAGAACTTTCACGTTTACTAAAATGACGTATGTCTGGCAGTCGTGAGCTCTTGGGCTATCACCCCCTAACGTTCGGAGAATCTGTAAAGGCCGGTGTTGCCAACAGCATTAGAGTAGTCCGAAAAATACTTACATTAGTGAGCTTACAGTACACATAAAAATTTGGTAAATACATTGGAGACTGGTTTATGACCTTTATAGAATGATATAGGTGCATAGAGCTGTCAACAAATCGCTGTCACAATAAAAACAGCATAGGAAATAATCATGTTTTTTACATCATTATGTAAAAAAATGTATGTATAAATGTATTCATTAATAGTGCAGACTGCGACAAAATACATAAATATAAAAGACCAAAACAGAAGACAACGTCTACAACAAAACCAGAATCAATAGTAATAAATACAACTTAGGCGGCCTAATAGATAGATTATTGTTTATATATTAAACAATGTAATTACCGGTTTTCAAACTTTACAGGTAAATAACAAGAACGAAAATAAGAAATCCGAACCACTGTCCATTACTGGCCAAAGATTCTGAATGGGTCGACATTTTGCAGACACCAATGACAGAACCTGATAAATTAGCCAGCAATGGCTCTGTACACGACGGAATCAATTAGATATAATTAGTATAAGCAAAATTTGTAAGATCATTTTTGTTAATAAAAATAAATCACGCAACGTACAGTTGCAGTAGGGAAGGCCACCCGTCGGGCGTCTATATAAAGAGCGCGGCCGCGCAGCAGCGACCCGATAGGTGCCTTCCTACCAAGTACAAGATAACAACCGAGCATTTTTATTTCGCCGCCCGACCATACGACCAGGGGATCCTAGTATATAGTCCTGTCATCATCATTGTGGTCCTTCGAGAAGCCGGATCCCTGCACCAGGAAGAAAATCAAGATGGTCGTGACGCGAAGCATGAATGAAGAAGGCACTAAAACGAAAAACTCGCATGAATCCACCGAAAACGAAACAAGCGCCGAATCCTCTATGCAGTCAAGTCAAGTGGAGGACTCACCGAATAGAGAAGACACCTCCCAGAAAACAGTGAAGGCGAGGTCACAATCCACGGTCTCAAGGAAAAAACTGGAAGAATTGGAGATTAAAGAACGACTGGCCAAGTTAAAAATCAAACAGCTGCAAGCAGAGGCAGATATGGAGATAGCGCGATTACAACGTTTACGGGCAGAAAAAGACTCCGAGGAAGAATATTCTGAAGAAGAAAATGAAGACTCCACGTGGGTGGATGCGTGGTTTGATCAACAGCCACGCGAAAAAGAAGTTCCTATGCCACGGGAGGAGAAACAAGATGAGGCAGCCGCGGAGAGGAAATTCAAGCAACCGCAGCAAACCATCGACGTTTCGACATTAACGACAGCACTACTGCAAGCATCAAGAAGACGACCAAGGGAGCCGCCTGCATATATACAAGAGTTGCCTATGTTCAGGGGCCTCTCTTATGAATGGTTATCATTCAAGGCAAGCTACGAAGATACACAGCAATACTTCTCGAAGATAGAAAACGTAGCACGCCTGCGAAAATGTATAAAGGGACCAGCACTAGACGCCGTGAGCAGCCTACTCCTGAGTCAACATGAACCAAATGTCATCATAGAAGCACTGGAAAGAAGATTCGGAAGACCAGAAGCACTCATACTCATCGAGATGGATAGAATCAAGTCACTGAGCAAGATCACCGATAACCCACGGGATCTCTGCGTGTTCGCCGGCAAAATAGCGAACACAGTCGCTACGATTGAAGCACTGAAGAAAACACAATATCTACACAGCCCAGAAATGACACGTCTCATCATAGAGAAGCTCACACCTATAATAAAAAATAAATGGTACGACTACGCGCTGAAAAAGGAAGACATCCCGGAATTGAAGAAAATGTCTGTCTTCCTAAACGAAGAGGCAGACAAATGTGCAGCGTACGCCGCGCCGGAACGTCTCGTTGAGAGCGAGACGGCAACAAGGGAGAGAGCGAGACGGAAGATCGAACATTCATTTGCTACTAATATGAAGCAAAACAATGAAAATGTATGTCCGCTGTGCAAACGCAACCATCAGCTGCCTGACTGCGAGCAATTCAATAACATCGACGTTAATTCAAGATGGGAAACTGCAAAGAAGAATAACATATGCTACAAGTGCCTGAGAAGTAAACATCGACGCGCCGTCTGCAGAGCTCCATGGTGTGGCAAATCTGGATGCCACATGAAACACCATCACTTGTTGCATCATGACAGAAAAGAAGAGGACCAGCTTCAACAACCACCAGAAGAGCATGGGGTGGTAACTTCTACGATGGAAGGCAATGAAGAATGTCTCCGACGTCGCGCCTATCTGAAAATAGTACCTGTCATATTGCAAGGGCCGAAGAGCAAGATAGAAACATACGCTCTTCTCGACGAAGGCAGCACAGTGACACTCATCGATACATCGGTGGCTGACATCCTGGGTATTGATGGTCCGGCAAACACGATGTGGATACAGGGCGTCGGCGCCATGGTCAAGCATGAACACAGCAAGACAACCAGCGTGAAAATCAAGGTCAAAAACTCTTCAACCAACTTCAAGCTAGATCAAGTCCGCACAGTGGATCGACTGGATATCACTACCCAGTCGGTCGTCGACAGCGACATAAAGGAGTGTGGTCACCTGAAAATACAAGAAGAACTCGTCTACCACCGTGCCTCCCCCAAGTTATTAATAGGACAAGATAACTGGCTCATCGTGTCAAAGTACGGGCGGACGTCGTGACCAACCGGTAGCATCCTACACGCTACTAGGTTGGGTTCTGCATGGTTGCAAGACGTCTCTCAACTGACTTTCTGCGGGCACCTGGTGGAGAAGAAAGATGACGTCAACATAGAAGAAATGATGAAAAATTACTTCAAGCTGGAGTCACTATGCATCGAACCCAGAAAACCAAAAAATGATCCAGAGCAGCGAGCTTTGAAAATACTAGAACGAGAAAGTCGCCGTCTTCCGAATGGAAGATATGAAACTGGGCTACTATATATATATATATGAAAATACCGAACAATTACACCGAAGCAAGAAAACGCCTGCATAACCTCGAAAAGAGATTAGACAGAGATGAAGACCTGAAAATTAAATACAACGAACGAATCAATAACCTACTCACGTCGGGGTATGCAGAGCACGCCAAGACACCGCCAGCTGAAGACAGAACATGGTACCTGCCACACTTCCCGGTTGCGAACCCAGCGAAGCCACACAAGCCGCCGCGACTGGTGCATGAGGCCTCCGCTAAGACTGCAGGTCTCATAAACGACCTGCTGCTTTCTGGACCTGACCTGTTGCAATCACTGCCTGGGGTGGTGATGAGGTAATAACGCCTACGGAGTCTCTGCAGATATCAAAGAGATGTTTATGCAAGTAAAAATTAAGAAAGAAGACCGCGACGCGCTCCGTTTCCTGTGGAGAGGTGACCGGCGGGAGGGCGACCCAGACGAGTACCGCATGACGTCATTAATATTCGGAATCATCACCCTGCACCGCTCTGTATATAAAAAACCGCAACGCAGAAGACTACGCGCATATATATCCCGACGCCGCAATCGCTATACGAAGAAATCATTATATGGACGACTATCTACAAAGCTTCTCATCAATCTCAGAAGCCAGAAAAATAACAAGAGAAGTCGATTATATACATAAACAAACCGGCTTCGTACTCAGCGGATGGGCATCAAACAATCGCAATACTATCGACGAGTTTATAGCAAGCGAG